TCTAAGAAAAAGAAGTTAAAGAATCATGAACAGTGAAAGGACAACAAACTCACAGTTATTAAGAACCACACCTAAAACAAAAGCAAACTAAAAGGACAGCTAGATCAGGAGTGGAAACATAGAAATGAAGATCTCAAGGAGGGTTAGCAACAGGGGAGTGGGAGGAGGAGAAGGGGGGAGAAGGTACAGAAAATAAGTAACATAGACAGTAGATAGAAAATAGATGGGGGCAAGAATAGCATGGGAAATATAGAATCTAAAGGACTTGAGACACATGGTCATAAACTAAAGGGGGGGGTAATGGTGGGGATGTGGGTGGAGGGGAATGAAGGGGGGGAATAGAACAACTGTAACAGCATAATCAATAAAAATAAATTTTAAAAAATGAAACTGTTTTGGGCCAAGCAACAATAAACACTAAAGATCTAGGTGTAAAAATTGTGAAATCAACCTTTTCCTTCTTACCTCAAATAACTTCTGTCCAACTGGTTATCTGGTATGTATGTTTTCAATAAAGTATGAATTTAAGCAGAATGGCTCCTAATGCAGACTTTGTTTCATCAATCTCTCTGATTCACCCACCTCCTATTCCATGAGCTGGTTCCCCTCAGCTAAAAAATATGTTTCCCTCGCATACTTACATAAAATAAAAAGCCCTCTGGTCCTCCAAAACATTCTTTGAACATGCTTTTCTCCACCAGCTGTCCTCTTTTTTTTTTTTTATCCTCACCTGAGGACATTTTTTTCCATTGCTTTTAAAGAGAGAGAAAGGAAGTGGGGAAAGAGGGAAATATCAATGCAAGAGAGAAGCCCGGATTGGCCATCTCTTATGTGCACCCTGATTGGGGATCAGTGCTTGGACGAGGGATCACAGGTGCCAGACAGGGTGTCTCATGCTTCCACATCCAGGCTGCAGATCAAACCTGCAACCCAGGCATGTGCCCTAACCAGAAATCAAACTGCAACTCCCCTGGCTACAGGACAATGCTTCAACCAATCGAGCTACATTGCCCAGGGCCAGCTCTGTCCTCTCTTTTCACTTGTGACCATCCCCCTTCGGAACAGTCATCAATACTCACAGTTTGGGCTTCAAATCCCAACCTCTCTTCAACTCATCACTTGCTATCTCACTTTTCCTGGCCCTGGTATCCTAAATGTCAACACTCATGGTTTCTCTGACTCAGCCTCATTTATAAGGATCTAGCACTTGTTCACTTTTCTGTTCTTTGGAAATTCTGCCTTGCTTTGGTTTCTGTAACATTATAACCTTCCAACCCTACCTTCTCCTTGCCACTCCAAGAAATTAAACACATTCTTCCTAATTATTTAAGTAAAATATAGTCACTTTAGAAAATACTTCCCCAGGTTCCTTTTCTGGCTCCTTGTGGATGTTTCCTCTTAGACACACGTGTTTCTCAGACGTCCGCCCGTAGCTCTCCTCTCATCCCCCATAATCTCCCGAGGAATCTTATGTGCAAATGATTCTCAAACCTCAAACTCCAGCCCTTACCCTTTTCCTGTCTGTATACTTATCTTTTTAAAAGTTCATTTTCATCAAAGTAACAGACATAGTACTATACAGTTTAAAAAGCCAAAGAATATTATGAGGCTTAATAATGGAACACAGTAGTTTTCCATCCTTCCTGTTCCTTCCCTTTCTGAATACCACTACTCCCAAAACTAAGTACCCTATAGGCACTATTTACTGCTTTATCATTTTAGAGAGCATCTATTGACTATTTAAAAAAACATTATGAGAAATAAATGGCACTGGGGTGTGCGTATGTATCACTTTATGTCCCCAGTTTTTGTGTCTTCTTCCAACATAGTTATAGTGTAATATTGGGTTTAATCATTATTTAGTGTTTATCTTATGACTTTATTAGTATGGATCACTTTATTAGTACGGATCATTTTCTTCCTATATAATTGTTCTTTCTAGAATTAACAGTTGTGGCTCATCCCACTTCACCAAGGTTGTGGGTTTGACCCTCAGTCAGGGCACATACAAGAATCAACCAATGAATGCATAAATAAGTGGAACCATAATCTATGTTTCTCTGTCTCTCCCTCTCTATAAAATCAGTATTTTTTTAAAAAAAGAATCATTGTATTATTTTAAAAATTTACTTAAATTTCTATGTCACTATGCTTCTTTTCTAAATTGTCCAAGAGAAGTGTAAGATCTGAATATTATCGCTCAAGACACATCGATTATTCCATCAGTTCCATTTTTCTCTAATGATACACCTCCAGTCACATCCTTATTAAAAGAACTTCTGCTCTGAGTAGGAGGTAGAACCTTTTAGTTCCCTTTCAGTTCAACCAGTCCTGGATTCTAGCACCCAAGAATTCCCCTGAACCAATTTAACAGCCGTGATATTTATGTAGTATATTGCTAACCTAAAGGGATACATCTTCCCCTAAGACAGGCATGTCAAACTCATTTTCACCGGGGGCCACATCAGCCTTGCAAAGGGCCGAATGTAATTTTAGGACTATATAAACGTAACTACTCCTTAACAGTTAAGCAAGAGCTCGGCACTGCCGCCAGGTAGAAACAAGGTGCCAGGCTGGATAAAACAAGGTGGAGGGCTGGATTTGGCCCGTGGACCTTATGTTTGCCACCTGTGCCTTAAGACGTTTGATATCGATATAGTTTAAAATACTAATGGAAGACATTTTGCATTTATCCCTTCTTCCTGTTCTAGCTAAAAGGGAAACTGTTCTTCAGATTTCCTATTGAAGTTTATGGACTTTGTTTTTCAGGGCTACCGCCAATAATAATTGAGAACTTAAAAAGTTCTTTATATTTTCTGTCAATACACATATTTTTAATGCATTGTAAGAGAGCCTTTAATTGCACAGTAAAAACAACAACAAACAAACAAAAAACCTCAGCAATGAGCTAAACTCTAGCTTGAAGGATGGCTTATCCTAATCACTCAGGCTTCTTCCGAGCCCAAGTCTGTGCTCTGCTGCTTGGCTAAAACCAAATGACACCTGGTCATAAGGCACTTGTAAATATCTGACTCCTGGGTCCATTACAGTTACAAAAACACATCAGTAACTGTGGTCGAGTACTTGCAGCTCCTTTGTTGACAGGAGCTACTGAGGTAAGGAAGTGCCGCGCCATGGCGAGACTGCACAAAGTCAATGACCTCAGGGACCAAAGATGACCAAGAAGCAGGTAAAGAATAAATCACCCATTAGAGCTATTGCCTCTATCTCCGGACATTTTATCTGTAGCTTGGGGTTGGATTCCCATGCTAATGCCCATTAGAAGAAAGCATCACATAAGGGAACCAGAAACACATTTAGTTGTTTTTTTTTTAATTATAAGTCAAGTTAGACTCAGGTGAACCAAAGCTATTAACATCAAAGAAAATGCAGTGACTCCTCTGCACTTTTTTTGATGTGATAATTTCTTTAAAAATATTTTTATTGATTATATATTATTACATTTGCCCCAATTTCCCCTTTGCCCCACTACACAGCACCCCTATTCCCTCCAGCAACCCCCCACCCTAGTTCATATCCATGAGTGGTGCACATTAAGTTCTCTGGCTTCTCTATTTCCTATTCTATTCTTAACATCCATCTATTCTTGCTATTCTGGTTGAATGTCTATTTCTTCCTGATGTTCCAAATCATTGATTTGAATCCCATCTTCCCTCCCTCCACTGTTTGTTCCCTGTAGATTTTTCTTTATTTAGTGTAACCTTCATTTTTTCCTGGGTCTTTTTTATTTTGTTGCTGTACTCACTGAATTCTTTGAGAATCCTGATCACCAGTGTTTGAACTCTGCATCTAATAGATTGGTTATCTGTTTCATTTAATTCTTTTCTGGAGTTTTGCTCGTTCATTTGGGCCATATTTCTTTGTCACAATTTGGCAGCCTCCCTGATTGTTTCTGTGTATTAGGTAGAGCTGCTTCGACTCCGTCGTAGTAGCGTGGCCTGCTGTGGAAAAGGCACCTGTAAACTGTGTGGGGCAAAGCCTTAGGTAATCTCCAGGGCAGGGAAACCTACTTCATCATTTTCTGGCTCTGTTTGAGGAGAAGGCTCAGAGAGGGAACAACGCCACTTCCTGGCTTTGGGAGGTTTGCCCAGCACTTGCCCTGTTTCCAGTCACTTCACTTGCTGTATGTGACTGCTACCTTTCCGGCTGTTGCCCTGGTGCTGAATCCCAGAGGGGGTGGGTCTGTGTATGTTCGAAGTCCGTGCAGGCCCTCTAAGCAGAGTCTCCTGAAAATCTGGCAGTTTCTTCTGCCACCCAAACCTCCACTGGATTTTATAGCCAGAGGTTATGGGGATTTATCTTCCTGGAGCTGGAACCCTGGGCTGTGCAGTCAGGCCTGTGGCTGGGATCTCGTTCCCAAGGTATCCCTCCTGATTTTAATCCATCACATGTGAATGTGAGGCTGCCCCTTCCACCACTGCTGCCCCTCTGTGCCACACTGTGTCTCCGTGCCCCTCTGCCCATCTCTGTGTCTCTGCCCCTCTTACCCGTTTGGATGAACGTGACTTCTTTAAATCCTTGGTTGTCAAACTTCTATACAGCTCAATTTTCTGATGGTTCTGGGTGTTATTTGTTCTGAGGTCTAATTGTAATTCTTTCTGTGGTTGTGCAAGTAGGCAAAGCGTGTTTACCTATGCCTCCATGTTGACCAGAAGTCCCCTCTCTTTTGCACTTTAGGAAGCCATGGCATTTGAGATGATTATCATGGTTCCCAACACATCTATTTCCCATTTAGCTTACTGTTTCAAAGATGGCATATTCCAAATTAATGAGGGATTAATTGAATGCTGAATGTTTAAAAAAAGGGGTAATCTTACACATAAAATTAGGAAAAGATAATACAAAAAAGCAAGTATAACATAACTGTCACAGTCTCCTAAAATTTATATGTATCATATTAACCTGTGAACTTTTCTCGAGTAAGTATTTGTTATTGGTGCAAATAAACAAAATAATTATATTTTCAAGTAAAACTTATTTAATAATGTAAAAATATGCTATTAAATACATTTATTAAGAAAAGTCACTTCAGAAGTCTTCTGACTTTATAACTGAAAAACAAAGGAAGGACGTGGACATGGACAATAGTGTGGTGACTGCTGAGGGGAGGGGGTATACAAGGACTAAATAGTAATGGGAAAATAGAATAAAGATAATATATTTTTTTTAATGTTAAAAAAATGAAAAACAAAAACTGTTCTGTGCTTTCCAAAAAACAAACGAAAACCAAAAAACACAATGCTACCTGTCACTTCTCTTCTCATAGTGGGGAAGGTCTAGTGTTCCTCACATAATTCAATTTGGGTTTATTTTTTAAGTTAGAAACACAAATCTGTACTAATACTTTTTCCTTAATTTGCTTTCCTAAGAAGGAATGTTAGCCTTCTAAGAGAAAATGGAGACCTTATAACTGGGATCGGTTATTTCTGTTGCCTGATTATCAAGCAAACTTGGTTTTCATCTTATTTAGCTAACTTTCATTCAGAAAATTTTAGTAAAATACATTTAAAGCTTGGTATTGTAAGCATGCAGAAGGAAAACTAAAACTATATATAAAATGAAATGGAGGCTAAAATGAACAGCCTCTAAATCGTACAAGTGATGAACACTCTGCCGCTGTTCCTGAATGAGTGCCCGGGGCTGCCCGAGTCCCAGGTTTTCCTCACTGACACACAAACTTATTTCTCCTTGAGTTTTTGTCCTGTGGATGTGACTCACTAAGAACACATGCATTTCCCAAGTTTGAGGAGATAAATAAGGAAAAAAAAATCATCTTCCGGGTTTGCTCTGATTCTTGTTTAAATTTCTCCTTAAACACAAAGGAGGCTAAACCAAAAATAGGTCGTACTTCATTAACAATCAGCCCAACTGGCTTAGAGAACACAGCATGTTTCCTTCCTAACCTTCTACGTTGCCATATGCCTACCAATCTGAGGGTTTTAATCTGCATGGGTTCCTTAGTAAGAAGGTCAGAAGTCATTGTCACTCTCTTCCAGGGGCTCAGGTTTCCGGGCCCTTCGACTGGGTTTAGCTGGGGAAAGAACAATGCTCTCATCTTCCAAATCGTCATCTTCTTCATCATCTTCCATGTCAATTTCGCTGTCCTCTGAGTCTTCCTACAGGAAAAAGACAGCAAATGCAACTGAGGACCCATCTCATTTCTGACGCCTTATCAGCAAGACTCTACTTCACTTTTTTACTAGTTCGATAACTAGCAACACCCCCATGTGAAGGAAGAGCTTGGCAGAGAAGCAGTCAGGCCGTGGGGACATAAAAATGGACCAACATCTAGATATTGCTGGCTGGAATACAGAGATCATGATATCATCTAACTGCTAACCTTCAAATACCAACATGCAATCCAAGGTTGGTGCCACAGGGGCTGCACTCCCACTGACATCTCAGGACCACCACGCCTGCACCAATGCTCACTGGATGCTGCTTTGCTCGTGGTGGCCCAGAGACCCACCAGTGGGTAGTAGGGAGAGCGGGGCCTTGGAGAGAGGAAAGGAGAGCTGTTGACGGATTGGGGATGGAAAGCCACACAGAAAATGAGCATAAGGAGCAAAATTTAAGAAACACTCTCCTCCATCATCTAGATCTAGAGTGACCAATTCCGCCGGATTTTAAAACTTCGAGTCCTGTATCCCAGGTAGACCAGGATGCTTGTTCACTGTATCTCAATCACTCCCACTAGCACACACACTGTAATTTCCTTCTTTAAAAAAAAAACCCTCTCAAAATTTAATCCTATCTTCCTCTCCAGCTACTCTGCCCTGTTTCTCTATTCCCCTCACAACAAAACTCCTTGAATGAATTTTGAACTCACTGTCCCTACTTGTCCCCTCTCACTGCCTCTTAAGTACACTCTAGTTAGGCTCCCATCCCACCAACCCCTCCAAACTGCTCTTGTCGACTGACACATTCAACTCCAATGGGGTAATTCTCCATCCTCCTGTTTGACCTACAGGCTCCTTCTTCCCTGGCATCCACTCTTCTGTCCTCCTCCAGAGCACCGCTCTCATTGGGTTCTCATCCCATGTTACTCCTGTGTTTTGTCTCGCTTGCCCAACCCTATCCATCTCCCTGACCTCCACACTATGGAGTCAGCTCAGGGCCGTGGACCTCCTCTCTTCTCTTTCTTCTCTCTCTCCCCAAGCAATCACATGTACCCTCATGCTTAAAGACCACCTAGACCTGACTTTGAACTCCAGAGTTGAATTTCAACTCAGCATCAGCATGTAGACACCTAGCAGGGCAACTCGCACTAAGAATATCCAAAAACCAAACTCTCAATCTGCTCTCCAAGCCCCTTCCTCAGGTCCACCCCAGCTTAGGAGATGAAAACTGTGCTTTTGGCCAATTATGCCACAACCAAGACACCCTTCATTTTCTTTAACACCCTGTGTCCAATCAACAAAACCTGATGGTTCTTACTGTTGAAACATGTTCAGAATCTGACCACTTCTCAATGCCTCACTGCTACCACCCAAGGTGAGCTACCACCACCATCCCCTCTACACTAGACTTTTGCAAATGCCTCTTCTCTGTGCTCTCTTAAGTGTGAGTCAGCTCTGGGCACTCCTGGGCTCAGGATTCTGCACTTGCCATTGTACTCAGGGAAAACGTCAAGTCCTTGCCACATCCTGCAAAGCTCTGTACAGCCCCTGCTGCCTCTCCTGCTGCTCCTGCCCCCAAGTCACTCCATTCCGGTCATCACCTCTGAGCCTCGAATGCAGAAACCACATTTCCTGTGACTGGAATGCCTCCCCCTAGCACCGTGTCCCTCCTTCCATTCAGGCCTCTGCCCAAATGTCACCTTATCAGAGAGATCTTCCCTGACCAATCAAAAGATATTCCTCATCCCTGTCACTCTGTTCCAGAACCTGCTTTATTTTTCTTCTTACCACTGTGAGCCCTGATGGACCTGCCTCACTACTGCTGGACCGTAAGCTTAATAAAGTTAGGGACCTTGTTTCTATTCACTGCTGTATTCCCTACCGTCCAAAATAGTGGCAGGCACGTATCAGGCACTCAGAAACCATCTGTCTAGTGACTGAGTGAATACATGAAGGACCAAGTCCCATGCCTATGGGGTGGTACATGAAAACAGCCCCCCTGAAATAAACACGCACCAACAGGCGCAGAACCGATTTAAGCTACAATAGTGCCTTTGTTCTGAAAAGTAGAAAGCAGCTATACGAATGATCAAGCAAATCGTAAGAAAACAGGTGAGCCAGGGCTCTCCAGGCAGCTCCCACACCAGCCCTTCCTTATTTCTGTCTTGGATGAGTAAGCTAGATGCAGAGAAGCTGTTTAACCATCCATCCCCTGCCTTGTTAGAATTTCTGAGGTGGTTTCTCTGCTTTACTAAAGACCCCCTTCTGGGTATTTACGGCTCTGTCCTCTCCGTGCACCTTGCCCAGCACACCTGAATGACCTCTCTCTCCTGTGAATGTCTGTGACAGTACGCACTGCTGGTCATAAATAAACGGACCTTTTGCATAACAACATAAGGCCTATACTCCGTCTCTGTGTAGGCACTAGTGCCACACTCTAGACACACGTGGCATTCAACCTGTTGGACAGGTCTGTGACTGGGATCGGTCTAGCCACTCTTTGCCTCTTGGTACTCACAGTATTGCCAGGGACTGCCAACAACGAAGGCAGGCCCAGAGTGATGGACAGAAGAGCCCCAACAGCTGGGCCCCAGCAGGGACCCCTTGTTTCCCCATTCAGTTCCTATCTCAGTCAGTTAGCCACTTAATGCTGTTCAAGGTGCTGCAGCCCCGTGCCCAGCCTCTCCGAGGCCCTGGTCTCAGGAGAGCCTCCTTTTCGTGCTTCCTCCCCAGAATGGAGATGAAGAGACGCCTAGTCTGACCCCGGTCCCTCAGCAGCATCCATTCCTTTCTAGGTTATGGTGTGAGGGCCAGGTGACTCCCCAACCACATCATTTCTTATCTCTTGGTTCAGCCCTCACTCCTCCTCCTTAGCACAGGCCCCTTTAGGGAATTTCACTATTCACTGTTGGACCCATTTTGAGTGGCTTTTTGCCCCAGAGACAGAAGCATCACTCTTGGGGAAGGCTCTCTGCTGGCCCTGAGCAAACACACACACACACACACACACACACACACAAATGGATGAGGTGAAAAAGAAAACCAACCTGCTTCTTGGAGCTGGAGGTCTTGCCTTTACCTAACAGAGCTGGTGGTCCTTCCATCTTTGGGAAGTGAGAGTAGACAGAAAATAAGAAGGAAAAAAAAGTAGGGCAAGCAGGTTCATTTGAAAAGAAATGAGCCATCAACAAGCAAAGAATAGAGTCCAGCTCCGTGGGAGGCCAAACTCTGCCACAAATCCAGTGAGACAAGCCTGGCTGAGAAGCCACACCTCACACTAAGCTGCTCAGACGTCCTTCTTTCCTGGCTAACTAGTCACTGAGGCCAGCCCCAGACCAGAAGGGACACAACTGCTAAGGGAAGCAGGTCAGGACTCACATCATCATCAGAGTCTCCACCTTGCATTGTGCCCACGATGCTTTTGTTAGGTCTTCCTGGAGAGAATAAAAACATGAAGAAATTGCAAAAACCTTGTGCAATGAGGCATGAACTGGCATTCAAGATCTGCTTTCCTTTAAAAAAATTGGGAAAAAGAAGAATCAAAAAATTTATTCAAGTAGCATCCAACTCATCAGAACTGTTGACAACTGGTAATGGACTTTTTGCATTTCCACAGTGAAACAAGGGAAAGGGCAGTAAAATGTAAGCATGAAACATAAATCAGAAAAAATATGGGTGCATCCTATAAATATTTTAGGGAAAAATCACTGAATCCTATTATCAGTGTAAACCCAGTGGAACGGGTATGCTATTGGTTGAGAAAAGAAATATATTCTCCCTTCATGGACTCATGTCACTTGTACTTAGCTCTATGCTTGAGTTTCAAAAAGAAAAACATTTAAATATCACAATTAGTTCATCTTTCAAATATCATCATTATCTGAGTGACTCTCCATTCCTTCTTTGAAAGTCAATGTTGTCCAGATGTGACTCCTGCAAAAACTCAGCAGGTGTCCTTCACTGAGCGGAGGAAGAGAGCTGCTCTCGCACCTGAAGGCTGGGAAAGGGACACCTCTGTCATGAGGTCCCGGCCTCAGAAGAAAGGTAATGAGGGCAGCTCAGAGAGGAGCTAGCTCAGGACAGGCCTGGATGTGACTGCCAAGATCTATTTATGAAAACTTTTCCTTGGGTCAGATAAAATGCATATCTTGTGTTGTTTCACTTCTGCAGTGAGTGGTCAGCAGGAGAATTTAGGAGCACTGGTGCCTTACTGGGTTCCACTGAACTAACCACATACCTTTTTAGAGCCTTGGCTCCCATATGTGGAATGGGAGTCATAACCTCTAATCTCTACTGATGTCATAAAGCTGTTAAAAAATAAAAGGAAAAGAAAAATCAGAGCATCTAACTATCCTATAAGAGGTGAAATGTAATAAATAAAAATAGGTGGATCTAGAATAAGAGAAAGCAGTTAGCAACAAAAAATATGAAATGATCAAAGGAAGATGACCAATACTTAGTATAAAAAACTCAATCCATTGAGCCACACCAGCCAGGACAATATATTTAATTTTTTTAAAAAAAGCAGATTGCGGCCCTGGCTGGTGTGGCCCAGTAGATTGAGTACCAGCCTGCAAACCAAAGGGTCACTGGATCAATTCCCAGTCAGGGCACATGCCTGATCTGCAGGCAAGGTTCCCGGTAGGGGGCGCACAAGAGGCTATCACAGTTTGATGTTTCTCTCCCTCTTTCCCTCTCTCAAAATAAAAATAAAAATATAATAAAAAGCTGATTGCAAAACCATACACGTCTGGTCCCATTCAGGTTAAAAAACATTTCAGGTGTCCATGTTTGAGTATGTGTGTGTAAGAGCAATTTGGAAAGACACACTCTTGGGCCACTGTCACGAGCCCTTGGGGTGGGGAGCGGGACACGGGCAAATCCCCACCCAGATCTGCTCCACACATTTTATCGCTTGAATCTGTTGCAGTGAAAAAGTGAAAATTAGAAGAACATTTTTAAAAGGCAGAGATGCTTGTGTATGTCCCTTCTTTGTACATTAATTCTCTGAACTTAAGGTATATAACTGCTCTGGCAGCAGTTTTGGACATAAAAAGGGCAGAATACAGCTCAGTGGCAGAAGCATTGTGTTCTTGTGAACTCTGAGAAACACCAAGCCACAAATAAGAATCGGCCATTCTTGGAACCACAGGTAAGAGCATTAGTGGCAAAGATGACCACTGAGCAGTTTAAGAGCTGAATGCTGACAAACAGCAGGGTAACCCAGAGCAGGGCCATTGACAGTGTGCTTACAGGCCTCAATGCCAAGAGGCTCTGACCCAATCCTGACCACTGTGTTCTGTGACAGACACAGGAGGACGGCAAGTGGAAGAAGCCATCGTACCTTGCATGAGCACTTCCATGGCTGTCCGTGGCTTGGACAGCCGCCTTTCTTCCAGTTCACTGTCAGATTCATCGTCATCCTGGATGTCAATGTCTGAGTCATTATTACCTGGTAGGAACACAAGTAAGCCAAAAACAAAACAAAAAAAAGGGATGGGGCAGAAGTAATGGGGCATCATTACTTCTGAAGCAGCCTCTGTCCAGTGAGGCTGTTGTGCAAGGCAGCTGCATTTCTCAGCCTTTCTTTTGATGCATTAGATTTTATAAGACTGTCCGGATTTGCTTGTAGATACTTAGGGAAGAGTTAATGCAGATAGGCTGTTGTTTGGGGTTTTTTTAAAACAATTTTCCAAAGCTAGAAATACGTAGGTCAGTTATATTAGAACAAATCACTATTCCAGTATGTGAAACTAAACAATTGAATAGCCAGTTGTCAAGGTAGTTGGAGGGGAAAAAAAACCTCTCTTTTCAGTTATAGACTATGTTACCAGAACTCAAGTTCCTCGAGGATAACAAAGATGTCAGCGATGGCCCCAAACAAGACTGGAGGCAAGGAGACCAGGCTAACAATGGCCTGAGCAGGGTATGAGAAAGACGGTGACCTAGTGACTGGCGAGGAAAACTGGTGCTCATGATATTCTTTACTGGAGAAAATTCCATTATAAAGAAAGGCCACTCTCAATATCATGGCCTTTTACATTAATTTCTTAAATACTCTTCTGGAGTTTTGTGCAGGTTGAACATTTCCTAATGGAAACCTATGGAATGAGAATTTCCAGTGGGGAGAAAAAGTGTTCACCGCCCAGTCCCTCACTACTCTGCACCCAGGGAGAGACACGGGTTTTAAGGATGGAACTGGAGGAGTTTGCAGTTGCTGCTCTGATTACTAACTTTGAGTCAGTTTGGAAGTATAGTAAATATTCATCTACAGAACGGCTTTGCTTAGGCCCCGATGTAAGAGGGTAATGAAATGGTGGCTGCCTCTGGCTGGGCACTGAGTGAGTGTTCTGCCTCCCCGAGCCATGGAGAGAAGCGCTGCGCCCTACAGCACAGAGAGCAAACCTGGGAGCCGGAGTATCAACAGCAGAATCTTGTAAGACTTCAACACATTCAATCTAAAAATTACCACCTTACAAAAGCCCTTACAGGGAATATGATTGAATATTCATGCAAATTAATGACTATAAAATGAAATCACTGTTTAGCTTAGTTCACTTTTTACTTCACCCAGGAAAATTATGACATTAAGTCTGTAACAAATGCAACATAAATGATATCATGAATTTCAAAACTACATTAATACAGATATCTCAGGCTCAGTGTGATTTCTTCTGACAACTCAAAAGCAATACACTGAGGACCAAGTATTGTGTTGGCCAAAAAGTTTGTTTGGTTTTTTCCCGTAAGATGGCTCTAGTAGCTCTTAGCTGTCTGTAACTCCATTCAAAGCAATTTTGTTAGATTGTATTGTAACAGCTGTCATATCAGCGTGAATTTAAAAAAATGCATCAAAATTGGTAAATTTTAGTGTAGCCATTTTAACACTGAAGATGGAAGAAAAAAATGCAACATTTTTGGTATATTAGGCTTTATTATTTCAAGACAGGTAAAAACTCAAATGCAAAAAAAGATTTATGCAGTGTACAGAGAAGGTGCTGCGACTGACTGAATGTGTCAAATTGGTTTGCAAAGTTTTGTGCTAGAGATTTCTCACTGGTCAGAGTTTGGGTGGAGCAGTTGAAGTTGACAAGTGACCAAATCAAGACACTAATTGAAAAGAATCAACATAATACCATGTGAGAGATAGCCAACATACTCAGAATATCCGAATCAATAAAGTTATTGGTGAAAATGAAAAATGTGTCTTTTATTTTACAAAAAACAAAAACAAAAAACACACGAACTTTTTGGCCAACCCCAGAGGTAAATGCATGCTCACACTGAAATCACAAGACTGTCAGTGAGGTGCTGAAATTACGTACAGTGGACAACGGTGCTGGCACAATTCAACAGAGAAAGAAAGAACAGTCTTTCCAACAAACGGTGCTGGGACAACGGGATAGCCACATGCAAGAATGAAGCTGGATCCTTACCTCACATCATAAATAAAAATTAACTTAACATGGATCAGAAATCTAAATATAATAGTTAAAACTATAAAATGCCTAGAAGAAAACACAGGAGTCAATCTTGGTGACCCTGAATTAGGCAGGGATTTCTTACTTAGCACAAGCAACCCCCCACAAAATGGACAAATTAGGCTTCATTAAAACTTTGTAGAGCAAAGAACATCAAAAAAGTGAAAACACAGCCTAAAGAATAAGAAAATATTTGCAAATCACTTAAATCATTTATAAAATACTCTATATATTCTAGTGTCCAGAGTGTGTAAAGAACTTCTACAACTCACTAATAAAAAGGCAACCCAATTTAAAAATGCGCAAAGGACTTGGCGATCTCTCCAAAGAAGATACACAAACAGCCAATAAGCACATGAAAAGATGCTCCAGTTCATTAGCTATCAAGAGAAATCAAATAAAAAACACAATGACGGTGGGGGAGGGAGTGTGCACGGTGGAGGGGATGAGGGGGAAGAGGACAACTGTAATGGCATAATCAATAAAATAAAAGAAAATATTAAAAAGAAAAAAACACAATGAGATACCACTTTATACCCACTTAAACTACAGGCAGTTTCTTTTTAAGTTTCTTTTAGATCAGCACTGTCCAACAGAAATACAATGCCAGCCACAGATTTAATTTTAAAATTTCTAGTAACTACAGTAAAGTAAAAAGAAACCAGTCAGTTAATTTTAATATTTTACTTGATCCAATATATCTAAAATGTCATTTCAATAAGTAACCAATGTAAAAAATTATTAATGAGCCTGGCTGGCATAGCTCAGTGGATTGAGCACGGGCCTGGGAACCAAACAACCACGGTTTGATTCCCAGTCAGGGCACATGCCTGGGTTGCAGGCCAGTTCCCAGCGGGGGACACAAGAGGCAACCATACATTGATATTTCTCTCTCTCTCCTTCCCTTCTCCTCTAAAGAGAAATAAAATATTTTTAAAATTTATTAATGAGTAATTCTACTTGTCTTTCATACTAAGCCTTCAAACTCTGGTGCATACTCTCCACGGCCAGCACACCTCAATTCCGACCAGTCGCGTTCCCAGTGCCCCAGACCCCGCCGGCTGCCGGCTAGGTGGCGGGCAGTGCAGTTCTAGGCTGGGAGTTGCCTGAGTGCCTCAGCCACCACTGCGGGCTGGCACAGAGCCTGACACACTGTGGGCGTGCAGTGAATACAGTCTGGGGCAAAAGTAGGTTTACAGCTGTTCATGCGGAAAATAATGCAATAACTGATACATAATAACAAGAGAATACACTGTTTCGAGTCCTCACAACCGTAAACCCACTTTTGCCCCACCCTGTCTGTATTAAACACAAACATCTGCTCTCCATTATACCATAAAAATGGAATCACAGCCAGGCTGTTGTGACACTGTGATTTATAACAAGAAATGTCCGTTTGGTCTCCATCCCTGTTTCTGGCACACAGCTCTCAAACCCCAAGGACTTTTTAAAATGATGGGAGCAACAATGGTCTCTCTTGTTACGCTAATGAGGTGACTTTTGGATCTCACCCAGGGTGGGGCCTGATTGCCAGTAGGAACCAACCATACGGTTAGAGAATTGGAACTTTCAGTACTGATTTCTGGGGAAGGGAGAGGGGCTCAAGGTTGAATCAGTCGCCAGTGACCACTGATTTAGACAATCATGACTACATAATGAGGCCTCCATAAAAACCCAAAAGGAATATATCCTGTTGCCTTTTTTTCAGAGAGCTTCCATGTGCCACCCAGGGTCAAAAAGGACAGAATCTCCTGTTCAACACTTTGCCCTGTGTATTTATCTCTTCGTTGGCTGTTCACTCGTACCTTTTAATATCCTTTGCAATGCATCAATAATCTAGTGAGTAAATAGGTTTTTCCATGAGCCTTTCTAGCAAATTAATCAAACCCATGGAGAGGGTTGTAGGAACCTCTGATTCACAGCCAGTCAGAAACACAAGTGACGATGTGGCATCTGAAGTAGAGGGTGATCTTGTGGCACCAAGCTCTTTCTTTACCTCTGGAATCTGATTCTATCTCTGGGCAGCCAGTATCAGAATTGGGCTGAATTCCTGCACACCTTGCTTGGTGTCCAAAAATTGCTTGGTGTGGAGAATCCTACACACACACACACACACACACACACACACACACACGAATTGAGTCCGGGAACCCCATGCAGTTACTCAAGTGCTTTGTAGAAATTTATGGGCCATTTAATAAATTCAGAGGACTCTTTAAGTTCCCAATGCTACACATAGTAAAGAATCCTACTGGGGATACAGTTATAAATTTACCACCAGTAATTAGGTTTAAAAAGATGGTGGTAAAATGAAAAGTTACCCTTGACTTCTGTTACAGGGTATCTGAACAAATTACTTGGCCTTTTTAAATCTCTGGGGCCCTATGTCATTCCCCCATCTCTAATCACGCAGACTTTATCTTCCTCAAGTCCCTTACCCTAGACCACCAAAACTAAATCCGAGATGACCACCTCCTGCTTAACAAAGAGGGTATCCATCAGATATGAGCCCCTCAAACACATTATACCTTCTAGCTCCTCTAACTTGCCTGAATTTAAGTCCTTGGTGTTCATACATTTCCTCAGTGAAACTCATCCCTTCACCCTGGCTCTGGGTCCCAGTCTCTCTAGGGCTTTCCTTATCTGGTATCTCCTTTTTCCCCAGCTCTACCGATTCTGTCCTTAGTGAAACAGCACCTCCTCAGTGAGGCCCACTCTAACCCCCTATTTAAAACTGCAATCCGGTCACACCTTCCCTATTCTTCCCTCTTACCTGCTCCCCATGGCATTTTTCACCTTCCATATAGAGCTTGCTTATTACTCATCTCCTGGCATGTTGCTAGCATGCAAGATGGGTCAGGGCAAGGATTCCTGTCTTTTGGCCACTCGTGCGTCCTCAGCACCCGGAACAGAGACTTAATAATGCTTTGCCTTGTTGAGTCAGCTGCCTGAAGAGTGGCCTGAGCAAGATGATCTCTTCCAGCTCTTAGATTTTACTAATTCTTGCTCCTGATTTATGTCTATGTACTGTTAGATTTTGTTTGGAAGAATCTTTCGCAGATGGAGAAAAATTCAGTCTTCCTTTATATATCTTCTCCCTGATGCAATACTCTAGGCAATGTTCTCACATATGCAGAAAAGTAAAGATAGAGAGACCATCTTAAGAATGTGAGGATGAGTAGAAATGAGGATGCTCCTTCATAAATATTGGGTTGGCCAAAAAGTTCGTTTGTGTTTTTTTTTCTGTAAGATGACTCTAATAGTGCTTAGTTGTCTTTAACTTCATTTGAAATGATTTCATTAGATTGTATTGTGACAGCTGATATATCACTATGCATTAAAAAAAAGTATGAAAATTGCTGAATTTTTGTGTAGCCATTTTACTACTGAAATGGAAGAAAATATGCAACAATCTTGGTATATTATGCTTTATTATTTCAAGAAAGGTGAAAACACAACTGCAATAAAAAATATTTGTGCACTGTATGGAGAAGGTGTGACTGAAGGTGTCAAAGTGGTTTGCGAAGTTCTGTGCTGGAGATTTCTAGGTGGACAATGCTCCACAGTCAGGCAGACCAGTTGAAGTTGACAGTGATCAAATAGAGACATTAACTGAGAACAATCAACAGGGAGAGGGCCAACATACTCAGAATATCGAAATCAATAAAGTTATCTGTGAAAAGGAAAAATGTGTCTTTTATTTTATGGAAAAAACTAAACAGGTTTTTTGGCCAACCCAATATTTTCCTAACTTCTCTCTTCATTCCAAGCTACTTAAGTGCTATCCTTCATTAAGTTGGGTTAAACTGAAAATTTTCCTGAAAAAAATTTAATCACACATTTTTCTAAGAATCTTTATCCTTCATGAGACTCCAAACCTATGGATCACAAAGTGAAAGTCTGAATTCAGGAGAATAAAGCAAGATCAGTGAGAAAGGACTTAACGTGCTGGCCTGCGGCGCAGCGGGATGCAGCCAACCAACTAGAGCTCTTACCTGTGCCAGGCCTCCCAGGAGGGTATAAACTCCATGCAGGCTTATCACTTAGGGCAGCTTCGGGCTCTCCTGGCTGACCTGGAACCATAAAGGCGAGGGGCTGCTTTGGCTTAGAGAGGCCCTTGAAATTTCCTAACTTTACCCCAAGAGGACTTCCCAGCAGTGTTTATTCTCCTTCCAGAGTTTTGTGAAATTCAGGAAAGGCACAGACCAAGTACTAAAGGAGAGAGGTACAAAGGGAAAAGACAAGAGAGCACGCCTGGTGTCCCAGGAACACTACCTTCCAGCGTGGGAGAATAAAACTATCAGCATGAAAGAAGAGCAAAAGGAAAAGTAACTCTATGAGACAAAGCCATCAATTCAGCAAGAAGATGACATGCTGCTACAGTCCCAGGGCTGACTTCACACCTCGGTGAAGTTCAAGGATGAAGTGTGCTAACCAGTCATGAAGAATTCTTCCCCAGAATCTAGATCTCCTATGTAAGTAACTCCCATTTCTCTACGGGTGACAGCTCTGCAGGAGGCGGGTGCGTGTGGTGGGGGGACTAGCTTTCAGCAAGTGCCCCATTCACTTGCACTGCATTATGGTGCCTGCTTTCCATCAGTCGGCCCTAAAATAAGGAACTCTACAGACCTCCAAGGCAAAATTTTCTTTTATAATTATATATGTTACATATAATTCACACTATCATTTAGGCAGAGAAAAACACTATTTTAGTTGGCATAAAAACCAAATGTGCTGTAAATACTCTGCAACTTAATCTAGTCTCTTGAGCTTTTGACTGAATTAAAATGATACCTGATATTAAAGTTGAGAGAAGATTGCCTTTTGAAAATGAGTAACATATACATATAAAATTTTTGATGCTAAAAATGCTACTCCAGAATAAACCCAGTATTTAAAAAGTACAGCCTTACTTCCACTCTTGAGCAGTCTCTTTTCTTCCTCCTTTAGCTTGTTCTGCATCAGACGAAGAGTATTTTCAGCTTCCTGTGGAACAGGAATGACAAGATACAGAAGAGATGACCCTTGCCTGGACATCTGATTATTCTTTACCATTTGAGTTTGCACTGCTGAGTTTGTGATACAGAATCAGAAAAAAAAAACCTAAAGTAAAGGGATGGGAAGGGACCAACAGTGCCTGAGATTCGACTACAGTTGGGAAACTTGGCAGCATCTCTGTCTACAATCGGCCCCCAACCCTATGAAAAGGGAGGGTCTCAGAAGGGACAGCTGACTCAAGATGAGCCTGACTGGCCCCCAAATCCATGCTGCTCCCACTACACCTCAATGCCTCTGAAGAAAACTGAGCGATACAGAAATACTCATCGTGTTTGCCTACACAGATGCATCAACTACGGGCACTATAGGCCTCTCGCTCTGGAAAGAATAAAGCATGAATGTTATTATTGTCCCGCACAATTCCAGCCCTGAAAGATGCTAACTGGTGGGACAGATCAGGATGGGAAAAGAAATAAATACCAGTTTTACTACCCAGAGGATTAAAAAAAACAACAACTAGTATTTCAGTTAGGTTATGAAATGTGGCCCCGATTGCTGTCAAAACAGAAAATGGGAGAAGAAATTAGGCTTTAAAAATTTGTGTTGCTATAAACATTAAAAAGAAAGCATTGTTTCACGCACAAGATAGTTTGAGGGACCAGGCATTAGCGGCACAGAGGGTCGGCGTGACCACAGGAGAAAAGAGGGTGGGTGCCTGTGGAAGGAAGAGCACACAGGCTGAGGCATGGTCTTCAGTGTGTCCTCTGAACCCAGATGTGGCCCCAGACAATAGCATAAAACGGTCAGTTTATTTTCACTAGCCCTTTATTGTTCTTCCCCAGGCACCTAATGTTTAAAATGTCCTGAACTCCAGGCTCTCTCCACTGCCCTTGAAATGTGCCTGTCCTATACCCCATTCCTCCAAGGCCTGCCTCTGCCATACGGTAATTTTGGCAACAGGATACTCATCAAGATAAATGTGTCCACATGAATGCAGTTTTTACTCCCAGCCAGCCCTCATAGACAGCAAAATAGTACCATCGAATTCAAACACCCAGCTTTGTAAGAAAGCTAGCATAATCTTTACCCCAAAAGCTGTCGGGGACAGTGTAAGAAAGAGAGTAAACCGATGTCACCATGAATATAGATTCCACATGACTTTTCTTGGCTTAAACAGTACTATCCCTAAGGGATAAGGGCAATTTGAAAAGTGAGAGCAACCTGATCCAACTTTCTTTGCTCTGAATTCCATATTTCTCAAGTCACACTGGGATCTGAAATACTCCTTCCTATATGGCCTTAAACACTGGGATGAAAGGAACCTGTAAGACAACTAACTGGTCAGGTTCGGGGTCATACATATTTCCCAGAATAACAAATAAACTGCAATTCCTCTTTAAAATGCATTCTCTGATAAGCTAGTTCAGGTAATTCAATTAACCAGGGCTTGAAAAATTCTTAAGTGAACTGACTAAGCATGTTTTTAGACTGAAGAACAGTTACGTAATTTGTGGGACTCAGTGTAATGCACTTAAAGATTATTAAGCATTTCAGCCTGGCTGGTGTAGCTCCATGGACTGAGTGCCGGCCTGCGAACCAAAAGGTCGCTAGTTTGATTCCCAGTCAGGGCACATGCCTGGGTTGCAGGCCAAGTCCCCAGCTGGAGGCACACAGGAGCCAACTGATTGATGTTTCCCTCCCTTCCCCTCTCTCTAAAATAAATAACTAAAATCTTTTTAAAAATTATTAAAGATTTCAAGATGGCAACAGTAAAACATTAAAGCAAGCACAGACTCTTCTAAGCTCAAAGTCCTGTGTGACTGTGCAGGTCACATGTCAGCCCTGTCTGGAGTCCTAATGGACCAAACCCTGATTATAAACAAATATCAAAGATTAGTTTGATAAACTAGTATCAAACATTCATTGACTTTTTCACAATGATACCCACAAACTGAGTTGTTAATAGGTGAAAAGTAACGCACCAGAAGGAACCATCTGTGGAGAAGAACCGGTTCCACTCTTACCTCAAACCTCTCTTGTTCCATCCTGTGATGATCCTCAAGCTGCTGTTCCAGATAAGCCAGATTTCGAAATTTCTCCAGATAAATGTCATACTGCTTTTGCAATTCTTCCTCAATCTTCTCATATTCGTCCATAAAGGCTGGCCTAGAGTGGTCGAATGAAATAAAAAAGGAAACATCGATCAATACACAGCAGTTTGAAAATGGCATTCAGAGTTTCACATTCCGTCCTGGTGAAGGCACTTCGCTCTCACTACTTGAAGCTAATTTCCCCTTTTCTATTCCCTCTCCCCAAAATGAAAATATGTTTTTTAATCTAGAAGATATGATTTTTGTAAAAATTTCAAATAATGGCTAACGATATGAAGAGTAAAGTAAAAATTATTCACAATCCCATTACTAAGTATAGGAACTTAGTATTTGACATACTTCCTTCCAGACTTTTCTAGATACATACAGAAATGCATTTTTAAACAAACATTAAGTATATTACCTTAAATCAGCAATTTCCAACCAGTGTGTCACGGCACAGTGGTGTACCGCAAGAAATTTTAAACCATGCAACACCTGACTATTGAGTTGAGGCACTGACATCTTTTCCCTTAGATTGTCAAATAAAAAAATAACAACCGTCAACACAACAGTAGCCTTTCAGTGTGAATAATCAAAATTATACCTATTTTTTGTCAGATCAGCAAAAAAATACAGTTTTTGGTGTGACACAGAATTTTAGTAATTAATTTGTGCCATGAGATGAAAAAGGTTGAAAATCACTGCCTTAAACGAAGTTCTACAATCTTTTTTCTCACTCAATATGCCACAGATTTCAGTAAGGACTTAAAAACTGGCATATACCACACAGAGCTCTCACAATCAATGTACGCATTATCTTAGTTGGGCAGAGCACTCTGCTGTGTGCATGTTCCAAAATTTAACCAGCCCCCTACAAAGGGCAATAGAGGTTGCTACGAATTAAAGCTAAGTTTTTAAACAATATAAAATTGAAAACCAAAACCATAACATAAAAAGCAATTTCAACTGGTTTGCTAAATTACTTTTTTCTTTTATTAAAAGGGAAAACTCTATTCTTTAAAAAATATAAACAGATAAACTAAAAAACAATTTTATAATCTTCTGTACTAAAAGCAAAACACAGGAACCTTTCTATTAAAGGGATCTGAGGATTAACAAAAAATTATGTTACACTTGAATGGCAGCACTCTTTAACGAGAGAAATCTATCTGGTGGCCCTGAGTCTAGAGGCAGGAGTGTGGTCTCTTGGCTGGGAGGAAGCCACAATGCTCCCTGGGTAACTGGCTGCTGTCCCCAGGTGCTCCCACAGATCTCAGGACAGTAGTAGCCAGACTGGGCCAGTCACCAGTGTTTCAAAAGAGCGAGACACATTTAGAAGACATACAGCTGCTGGAAAGAGTAGAGAGAGAAAAATAAAAGGAGACTTAATAGGGAGAAAGAGTTACAGCATGAGAGAAAGAACAACAAAAAAACAGCAAAGGAAGGAGGGTACAAAACAAGACGTGGGGGACGGGGAGGTGGGGGAGAAGGAGGGAAAGACAGAGATCCAAGAAAACCAGAGGAACACGTTTGAAAGGCTCCAGTGACCCAGAAGGTGTTTTGCACGACTCTCTATCTGCATTCCCTGGAAAACATACTTTCAGTGAGGGAGAGTCAGAAGAAAGATGAATTACTGGTGAGGAAACAAAAGTCTAAGATCTATTTAAACTAAGAAATAGAAATATGTTTCTGTTTCCACCTAATTTATGGCAAGGCCAGATCTTAGGAGACCAAGTCTTGTACAACTTTTACCATCTGGATTTACTTACTTTTCCTTGAGTTCCAAGAAGCTATAAAAGCTGAGTGGAAGTTCAAAAATTAAACAGTTTTCCAGACATATTGAAAACAATAAAGAGAATGAGTTTAGTGGTGTGATTGTTTGAACAAGCAACACATGTACATTCTGAAGTCATAGGCAAAGCTTCTTCCACTGCTGGAAGGGTTAATATCACTGACGATATATTCTCTCAGTCTGTTTGAACTTACACAGCTTTCTATTCATTTTTTGGTTCTTATCTACCTGACACTCTGCAGAGTCTGGAGTCGCTTCCGGTTTCTTTCCAGTTCTAATTTCCTCTTTTCAATTTTGGCTTCTAAGTTAGCTTCGTCAGAGGCCACGTTATTTAGCAGGTCTTTAGTCTTCTGAACCTGTGCCTACATTTAACAGAAAGTGAAACAATGTGCCAATAAGGACCTGCAGCTTGACGACTGGAAGGGTGGAATTTCTCAATCCCTGAAGCATGGCAACATCATGATAAACAAAAATGAAAGTAGGCAAAGAGCAAACTCTCCCTCAAGTCACTACTTGCTTAACCAACCGTTACCAGGGAGGAACATCACACAGGCCCAGGCAAAATTTTTTACCCTCCCCCGCCCATGAGAAGAGGGTGTTTCTTCCCAGGGAATCAAATGAAAATGGAAAGAAGAGTGTCCTGAGCAGAGTGGAGAGAGGCCGAGGCCTCCTGTGCTGCTCATTTGTTTAGACTGGTTACAAATCACTCTGAAGTGTTAGTCTACCTTTATTTACATTTTGTCAGGCTACTCCTGTAGTTACGAATATCTGACTTCTAGAATATACAGCAGCAAGCAAAATTAGGTTTGTGGTTGTTTGTGTGGAAAAAGGCATGCGAGTTGTGATTACCACAACAGCTTTATTAACTCAAAAGAATGTCGTCATGGCACAGCGTTAAGTGCTCAAACTGCCAGCCTTCATTATTTACACATTCTTATAGTCTGCTTGCTATACTCAAGCACACACTGGCACAGAGTCCTCGCCTCCTTTTGCCCATCCCTGAATGTACACACAAATATGCCTTTATTTAGGAGGGAAAAAGTGAAACAATAGCTGGCCACAGTACTAACCCACTGCCTGCTGGGATTGAGAGAAGGTTCCTTTTCTCTCTTCCTGGCCACTGAATCTTCACTCCAGACTACCAGAAACAAAGAAGCCACTCTGTGGAGTCAGACAGAACGTGGCCATCTCATACAGTATCAGACTCTGGGTGGAGCCTGGCAGCAGTGGGACAGAGACCCTCGGCAGGGAGGGCGAATAAGAAAGTGAAGGGGACGAGATCACTGATGAAAACCATAGGCCTCCCTGAGCTCTTGTAAAAGCGAGTCCACTTGAAGCAAAGGTAGTCCAAGGAAACGTAGTGTGCCTGGACTACCTGGACTATCTGAGAAGCTGGCCAGATTGGGGCCTGTGCCATCTGTTGTATTAGGAATAATGTCTGGAATGCAACCAGCTAAGTGTGGAACTGCCTCCCCAAGTCTGGGCTCTCTGACTCTGCTTTAAATTCCTGATAGTCGAGATGGGGTCATCCCCTCCAGTACTTTGCACATGTGCAGTGCACCATAATGATTTACTGACTGTTTATCTCTAAGTCTCTGAAACGCTACGGGGTACACAAAGAAATCACATAAGGAGCCTACCACACTCTCTATGACTCTCAAAGACAGTGTGTATTTGGAAGCAACTACTTTTATTGATAAGGATTTACAGTTCAATTATTTTTTGTCTAAGACAACTAATCACTTCCAAGATGCTTTCATAAAATAAAATCACCAACCATCCATCTGCTGCAAGTGCTTTACAAACACCAGCAGAGAGCTTCAAAATGTCGGCATAGGTACGTGCAGGACTCAAATCCTTCCACAACCACATCAAAATTGCAACTAAACTGCAAAACAACATCATTCAGAACCACCTGAAGTTGAAGTTCTGGCCAAGACACAGGTGTGGGTAGATATGCTTCACTTCTGTGAACAACCAAAAGAAAGATAACAACCAATTTGAAAACAAAAATAAACCAGAACTGGCAGAAACTCAAACTGCGTGGAAGTCCAAGAACCGAGGAGATGAAGAAGAAACATTCAACCAGACTGGTAGGAAGGGCGCAGGGGTGGAGAGGATGTGTGGAAAGGCAGCGGCTGGTGGACTGGGTGGGTGAGGTGGCAGCTGCCGGACTGGGCTGTCCCACATTTGTGTGTGGATAAGCCGGGAGGAACAACTGGGGAGTGAGGCAAACCCCACAACCCAGGGTTCCAGTATAGGGAAATAAAGCCTCAAAATCTCTAGCTGTATAAACCTATGGGGGGTTCCAGTGACGGAAGAAACTCCCAGCCTCACAGAAGAGTCTGCTGGAGAGGCCCACAGGGCCCTAGAACGTACACAAACCCACCCACCTGGGAATCAGCACCTGAAAGGGCATAGTCCGCTTGTGGGAAGCGAGAGACGTGACTGGAAAGTGGGGCAAGAGCCAAACAAGATAGCAAGCGGCACTGTTCCCCCTCTGGCCCTTCCCCCACATAGAGCGCCACAATGCAGCAAAATGGGTTGCTCCGCCCTTAGTCCCTTAGCAAGGGACTAAGGCTCTGTCCCTAGCTACATACGTAACAGGTGCACCAAGATAAAGAAATATGGCCCAAATGAAAGAACAGATGAAAACTCCAGAAAAAGAACTAAACGACAAGGAGATAAGCAACCTACCAGATGCAGAGTTCAAAACACTGGTAATCAGGATGCTCACAGAAAATGACTGAGTTCAGTCACAACCACCACCCAACCACCTCTACAAACAACACACTCAAGGGGCAAACTCAACAGGTACCAGAACCCCACTGACATGAGTCCTGCTCTGTGGGATCAGCCACTTCACAGCAGATCCTTCACGGTGGTTGAAGCCAGTCCTCACCAGTCAGCCTGGGAGTAAATTCCTTCCACTGATGTGCCAACAGCAATCAAAGCTCAACTACAACAAGAGGGTGCACACAGCCCACACGGGAGGTAAACCTGAAACACCCAGCTTGGGTGATGGGGAGACTGCATCACAGGGCCCCACAGGGCACCTACTGTACAAGGCTACTCTACCAATATCGGGAGACAGAGTGGCACTACCAACTACATACAGACAAACGCTGGGAGGCAGCCAAAAGGAAGAAACAAATAAACATGTCCCAAATGAAAGAACAGAATAAAACTCCAGAAAAAGAACTAACAAAAAGGATATAAGCAATTTATCAGCTGCAGAGTTCAAAACACTTGTTACAAGGATGCTCAGTGAGCTTAGGGGAAGAGTAGATGAACTCAGTGAGAACTTCAACAAAGACATAGGAAACACAGACAGAAAACATAAAACAACCAGTCAGAAATGAAGAATACATTACAGAGACTCAACAATGAAGTAGATGAAGCAGAAGATCAAATCAGAGATTTGGAAGATAAGGAAGCAGAAAACACCCAATCAGAACAGCAAACAGAAAAAAGAATCCCCTCTCCCACAAAATGAGGACAGTATAAGGGACTGGTTTCATGGAAGACAATTTTTGAAGACAATTTTTCCACAGACGAGGTGGGGGAAGAGCCAGGAGCACAGAGCTCAGGCAGTAAAATGTGAGCGAAGCTTCACGTGCTCGCCCGCCGCTCACCTCCTGCTGTGCGGCCTTGTTCCTAACAGGCCATGGACTGGTACTAGTCCACGGCCCAGGGGTTGGGGACCCCAGGTATAAGGAACCTCAGGGACAACTTCAAGCATATGAACATTTGCATCATGGAATACTAGAAAAAGAAGAGAGAACACAAGAAATTGAAAACCTATATGAAAAAGTGACAGAAAACCCCCTTATCCTGGTAAAAGAAGTGGACATACAAGTACAGGAAGTACAGAGTACCCCCAACAAGATGAACTCTAACAGGCCCACACCAAGACACATCATAATTAAAATGCAAAAGGTTAGCCCTGGCTGGTGTAGCTCAGTGGGCCTGGGGTCCAAAGGGTTACCAGTTCGATTCCCAGTTGGGGCACATGCCTGGGTTGTAGGCCAGGTCCCCAGGAGGAGGTCCGTGAGAGGCAACCACACACTGATGTTTCTCTCCCACTCTTTCTCCCTATCTTCCTCTCTCTCTAAAAATAAATAAATAAAATCTTTTAAAAGTAAAATAAAATAATTAAAATGCAAAAAAATTAAAGACAAAGAGAAACTCCTAAAAGCAGCAAGATATCAATAAAATAGAAGAAAAAAGGAATCAAAAAGCAGCAAGAGAAAAGCAGTTACTTAATACAAGGGAGCTCCCATAAGACGGTCGGATGATTTCTCAACAAAAATTTTGCAGGTCCGAGGGATTGGCAAGAAATATTCAAAGTGATGAAAAGCAAAGACCTACAACCAAGATTATTCTACCCAGCAATGCTGTCATTTAACATCGAAGAACAGATAAAGAGTGTTTCTAGACAAGAAAAAAGCTAAAGGAATTTATCACCACCAAACCAGTAAAGTGTCTTTTGTAAGAAGAAAGAAAAAGATAATATGAATAACAAAATGGCAATAAATACATATCTACCAATAATTACTTTAAATACCAGTGGCTTAAATGCTCCACTCAAAAGCCATAAGGTGACTGAATATAAACATCACCCTTACATATGCTTTCTACAAAAGACACACTTCAAATGAAAAGATACACACAGACTGAAAGTAAAAGGATAGAAAAAGACATTTCATTAAAATGAAAACAAACACAACAAAAAAGCTGGGGTAGCAATACTGTTACCAGACAAAACAGACTTTAAGAACAAAGGTTATAATATGAGACCAGAAAAAAACCCCAGCAATTCCACTTCTGGGTATTTATACAGAGAAACCTAAAACACTAAATCAAAAAGACATACACATCCATATGTTTGTTGCAGCATTATTTACAACAGCCAAGATATGGAAGCAACCTAAGTGTCCATCAATAGATGAATGAATAAAGAAGTGGCACACATGTACAATGGAATATGACTCAGCCATAGAAATAATAAAATCTTGACATCTGCGACAACATGAATAGATGGACCTACAGGGTATTGTGCTGAGTGAAATAAGTCAGACAGAAAAACAAATGCTATATGACTTTCCTTGTAGATGAAATCTAAAAAACCAAAATGAGCTGGCTAGTGTGGCTCGGTGGATTGAGTACCAGGCTGAGAACCGGAGGTTCTCTGGTTCAATTCCCAGTCAGGGCACATGCCTGGGTTGTGGGCTGAGTCCCCAGTAGGGGGTGCCAGAGGAGCAACCAAACGTTGATGTTTCTCTCCCTCTTTCTCCCTCCCTCCTCCTCTGTCTAAAATAAATAAATAAAATCTTTAAAACAAAACAAAACAAAATGAATAAGCAGAACACAGACTGACTCATAGATGCAGAGAACATTTTGATGGTTGTCAGGTGAGAGGTGGGTTGGAGGGATGGGTGACAGGATTAAGAAGTACAAATTGATAGTTGCAGAATGCTCATAGTCCCAGGGATGTAAAGTACAGCATAGGGAATATAGTCAATAATACTGTAATAACTATTACGGTGTCAGATGGTCACTAGATTTATCTAGGTGATCACTTTTTAAATTATATGAATGTCTAATCACTGGGTTGCACACCTGAAACTAATATAATATTGCATGTCAACTGTAATTGAAAAAATTTAAAATTATTTATTAAAGAAACACCAGCAGAGATATGAGTTCACTTTCACAGGAAAACAAGGTGGGTCTCCTTTCTGAACAAACAACTCAAGTTGATGGCAATAGTTTCTCTGAATCAAAGTCAGATTAAAACCTAGTGAATTAATCTCACCTCAAAATAAAAATGATTTTTAAAAAAGTATCTATTCTTCAAAAAGGAAAGATCAATGTGATCTTCCTGAAATAAATAACCCCTTTTAAATATCCATGTTGTTACGATTTTGTTTTTAGAATTATCAAGTACCATGGATATTTTCCAACAATGAAAAGATACCTTTTTAAAATGTATACTTTTCAATTTCATCTTTCAATTATAGTTAACATGTTGTATTAGTTTCAGGTGTACAGCGTAGTGATGTGACATTATATACCTTATATGTACCTTACAAAGTGTTCACCACCATAAGCCTAGTACCCACCTGGCACAATTCACAGCAGTAACAATACTAGTGACTGTGCTCCCTCTGCTGTACTTTACATCCCCATGACTATTTTTTTAACTGGCAATTTGGAATTCTTAATCTCTTTCACCTTTGCCCAGTCACCCAACTCCTCTCCCATATGGCAGCCATCAGTTTGTTCTCTGAATCTACGAGTTCTGTTTTGTTTGTTTGTTTTTTAAGTTCCACATATAAGTGAAATTATATGGTATTTGTCTTTCTCAGTCTAACTTTTTTCATTCAGCATAATACCCTGTAGGTCAATCCATGTTAGAAATGACAAGATTCATTCATTTTATGGCTGAGTCACATTCCATTGTGTGTGTGTGTGTCACATCTTTAAAATCTATTTGTCTATTGATAAAGACTTAGGTTGCTTCTACACCTTCGCTATTGTACATAATTCTTCAATGAACATAGGGGTGCTATATCTTTTTGAATCAGTGTTTTACATTTCTTCAGATAAATACTCAGAAGTGGAATTGCTGAGTCATATGGGAGTTCTATTTTTAGTTTTTTGAGGGATCTCCATAGTGGCTGTACCAATTTACAATGCCACCAACAGTATGGTAGCATTCCCTTTTCTCCATTTCCTCGTCATTACGCTGTTTGTTGATTTATTGATGATGGCCATTCTGACAGGTGTGAGGTGATGTCTCACAGTGGTTTTGATTTACATTTCCCTTAGGATTAGTGATGTTGAGCATCTTTTCACGTGTCTATTCAGGCCATCTGTATGTCCTCTTTGAAGAAAATGTCTATTCAGGTAGTCTGCCCATTTTTAAATTGGATTATTTGGTTTTTTTTTATGTTGAGCTTTATGAGTTCTTTATATATCACATATCATTTGCAAATAACTTCTCCCATTCAACAGGTTGCCTTATTGTTTTGTTAATGGTTTCCTTTGTGGTGCAAAAGCTTCTTAGTTTGATGTAGTCCAATTTATTTATTTTTGTTTTTGTTGTCTTTTGAAATAATACCTTAAGAGGTGTTGGTACCAAGTTATGAACTGTGGCCTCAGCTGTCTGTTCTATTTTTGATATATGCTTAGTGCTAAAGGTACATTCATGCCATGTTAGGTTGATTCAGCCTAAACAATGACAAGCACAAGATTATCGTGTTAATGTTTTTAAAATTTAGAAACAATCATAAACTTACAAACAGCTGAAGTGTAATACTGAATACAAAACATTTTTTTCCTGACTTAGGTGAGTGCGCTGCTGACCTGACGCCCCATCACTTTCTGATACTGTAGTGCGCATTTCCTGTGATAAGAACTCCCTCTTACCTAACACAATACAATCATCAGGACAGAAAACGCGCACTGGGGCACTGCCGCCAGCTGATCCACAAGCCCACCAAGTTTCCCTATTTGTCCCCATGAAGACCTTAACGGCAGATGGAGGTCAGCCTTGGCATTCAGTTGCTGTGTCTCCTTAGCCTCCTTCGGTCTGGAATGGCTTCTGAGCCAGCCCTGGACTTCTGTGTCCTTTTCACTGTTGAGGAGTACAGGCCAGGTTATTTACAGATGTCCCCCATTTGCCTTTGTCTGATTAGCTTCAGATTATGAATTTCAGCTAGCACAGCTACATTACATCATGTGTGCAACATTTTGGTTTGTTCCAATTACTGGTGATGTTCACTTTGATCACTTGTTTTAAAGGGGGGGTTTATCAGGCTTCTCATATGAAGTTATTCTTTTCCCCTTTGCAATTATTTGTGTTTTGTGGAGAGCTACTTTGAAACTATGTGAAGAACCAATATATTCACCTATTTTTTTATATCAGTGAGAATTCATGATTTCCCATTTCCTTCAGTGGTCTATAATCCATTACTATTATTTATTTATTTTGGTGGTTAAACTGACCCTGGTCTGGCCAGGGGAAGCTCACTCAAGCCGGCTTCTGTGTCCTTCTGACAGTTCCCTTTCAGTCTTGGAGCACTTCCTTGCTTTCTGGCTCAAGTTCTTGCACTTTCCTCTCCCAGCTTTGGAATAAGTCCTTTCTCCCCAAGAGCCCTGGTTCCTTTTAATGGGGAACAGCATTTAGAAGGTCTGGGTGCGAGGTGTGCTCAGAGCTAAGAAATGTATGAATGTGTATGTGGGGTATGCATGTGCATGTTTGTGTATATAAATACTGAACATGTATATCAAAATGTATTCCTATATCTATCTCTATATATGTCGAAAACCATGCACTTAACCAACAACTCCAATTTCATGGTTCGTTCTAATTTCTTCCCTTTTCATATTTGTCACTCCCTTCTCCGACAGTGAAAAACTTGGCCTCTGTTATCTTTAATATATAAGGTAGGAGAAAGTAGGTTTACAGTTATTCACATGGAAAATAATAAAATAAGTAGTAATACAAGAATAAACTCTGTTTTTTGTACTCACAACTGTATTTACTTATTTGATCAATACCTATACATAATCAATCTCCCATCTTGGCTATCCTGCCCTTTTTACCCTGCTGGTTCCCCATGCTGGGTCCCCCAGGGAGTACTGCCCCCTTTATAACAGGGTCTTCTAAAAATCTATCAAATCTTAGAACTTCATACAACTCTCAGCAAATTGTTTTATGCCTATTTCCTATTTTACATAAGGCCCTCCCCGACCTGTGTCTACTGAATAAAATGAATTCTAATGTTTGAACACCTACCACACGCCAGAGACTATGTGTGATGCACCCTGTTATAATGAATGCTCGAAGGGACCCTATGTGGCACTGCCGTTCTCCCCATTTTACAGATGAGGAAAGTGAGGCACAGAGAGGTTAAATAATATGGCTAAGATCACATGGTGAGATTCAAATCCAAACAGTCTGAGCCTACAGTGACCTTCACTATCTGCCTTCCAAATGGATGAGCAAATAGTAATTGGTCAGGGGCTAAATAGTAAAGGATGGTGATCATTCTATTTATTATAGTGCTGTTAGAATTAAGAAAACCTAAAAACCATTGAAATGCCCAGCAATGAGAAATTGGTTAGATAAAGTGTGAAAAGAGTCCATAAAATTTAGTAGAATTACTGAAGTATTAAAATTGACAAATTTTTGCCTGACTGGGTAGCTCAGTTGGTTGCAGTACTGTCCCAAAACACCAAGACTGCAGTTCAATCCCAGGTCAGGGCACATACAAGAATCAATCAATGAATACATAAATAAGTGGAACAACAAATTGATGTCTCTCTTCCTCTGTCTCTCTCAAATCAATTTTAAAAATTAACAAATTTTTAATAACATTAGAAGTTGCACATATTTATAACAAGGGGAAAAATAATAGTAAGCGACCTAAGTATTCTAGAATGTTCTCTAAAGTTCTCATTTCCCTACTAACTAACATACCCTTCTTTGTCACTAGGCCTACCTTGTTCTGTGTTATGGAGGCAAGTAATCAGTATTTTTCAGGCCCAGGCACAAAAACATTAAATAAAAGCAAAGTAATCAGTCCTGACCAGTGTGGCCCAGTAGGTGAGGCATCATCCTGCAAAACCAAAGGTCATTGGTTCAATTCCTGGTCAGGGCACACATCTGGGTTATGGGTTCAGTCTCTGGTCAGGGTGCATGCAAGAGGCAACCAATTGATGTTTCTCTCCCTTCCTTCCCCTCTCTATAAAAATAAATAAATTAATATATAAAATCTTAGAAAAGGCAAAATAACCTTACCAAAATATCTTTTATTGCAATTCTCATCACTTTTTCAGTCTCATTTATTTCCAGAGGTCTGGCAATTGCTTCTGTTCTCAGTTCCTGTGGGAAACAATGAAATAAAATTACATAAATTTTCAAAGCTAATTTCCAGACCTAGATATGGCTTATGGACTAGTTCCTAAAAGGTTCATTAAAACATGGATCTCACTTCCAGTCAAGATGGCGGCATAGGTAAACCTGGCACTCACCTCCTCCCACGAGCACATGGAAATTACACCTAAACAACAGAGCAAACATCATTCAGAATTGCCTGAAATCTAGATGAACAGAAGTCTTACAACTAGGGAATTAAAGAAGAAGCCACATCAACACTGGCAGGTGGGGTAGAGACACAGAAAAGCTGGTTCCCCACCCACATGTGGCAGATAAAAATAGAGCAGGATATCTCAGCTGCAGAGGTCCCCCCTGTGGAGTGAGAGGTCCCATCTGCACACCAGGTCCCCCATCCCATGGTTCCAGTGCCAGGAAGAAATGTCCCCATAACTTCTAGCTATAAAAACCAGTGGAGATAGAAACTGAGTAAGACAAAGTCCCAGGTGTTCTTCTTAAAGGGCTTACACACAGACTTACTCCCTCTGATCTCCAGTGCTGAGGCAGCAGCTTGAAAGGCACCAGGGACATATGGGGAGGAACTGAATTGCCCGGCATTAGGGCAAGAGCTAGGGGGGACAGCTTCCTCCCATACAGAAGTGATGGCAGATACCACTGTTCCTTTGATGAGCCCACCCCCGACAAAGCCAACAGGCAGACAACATATTTGAGACTCCATCAACCTGGCTGTCACTTTTTTCCCCACCCTAGTGATTCCCTGAGGCCCTGCCTCACCCAGTTTCAAGCCCACCTAAGCTGTTTTCAGTGGCTTATCCATAGGAATGGCCTATCTTGGCTCATGCTTTAGATTTTCCTATAATCTCTCAAACAAGCAGCATCTGGCCTCAGTGTGTCCCATACCTCCAGCTATGTGGCCCCAGGCCCAGCACCAGCAGCAACCTGCCATGGTTCACAGCCTAGCCTCACCTGGGTACCTCTAAGCCCAGCACAAGTAGCAGCCATCTGTAAATCTGTAAATTAGCAGCCATGTAGTTCATGCCAGGTGGTCCCAGGAAAAATACAGGCAGCACAAGACCGTGGCTTGCACCTTTCAGGAAGCACCAGAGGCAGCAAAACCAGCGGACAGCTTCAGATCATGTTGAAGCACCACTACCAACCACCTCCACAAGTGACACAATCAAGGGGCAGACTCAGCAGGCACCAGAGCCCCACTGAAGTAAGTCCTGCTCTGCGGGGTGGCCTCTGCACAGCTGATACCCCACAGTGGTTGGAGTTCAATGACTGGTGGTTGCAGCCAGTCCACACAGCTGACTGGCCTGGGCGTAAATCCCTCAGACGTGCCAACAACAATCAAGGCTCAACTACAAGAGAAGGGTGTACACAGCCCACATGGGGGGTGCACTTTGACTACCCAGCTTGAGTGATAGGGGAAGCTATGCCACTGGACCCTACAGAACACCTACTGCATTAGGCCACTCTATCAAGACGAGGGATGTAGTTGTTCTAATACATAGATAAAAACACAGGGAGGCTGCCAAAATGAGGAGACAAAGAAACATGTCCCAAATGAAAGAATAGAATAAAACTCCAGAAAAAGAACCAAACAAAATGGAAACAATCTATTAGATGCAGAGTTCAAAACACGGGTTATAAAGATGCTCAATGAACTTAATGAGAACTTCCATAGCATAAAAAGGACAAGTCAGAAATGAAGGATACATGCAACTGAAATGAAGAATACTTTATAGAGAATCAACGATAGAGTAGATGAAGCCAAGAATCAAATCAGCAATTTGGAATATAAGAAAGCAAAACCACCCAATCAGAACAGCAAAAAGAAAAAAGAATCCAAAAACATTAGAGTAGTGTAAGGAGCTTCTCAGACAACTTCACTGTACCAATATTTGCATCATAGGGGTGCCAGAAGGAGAAGAGGGAGATCAAGAAATTAAAAACCTATTTCAAAAAATAATGACAGAAAAATACCCTAACTTGAAGATGGCAATAGACACACAAGTCTGGGAAGCACAGAGTCCCAAATAAGATGAACACCAAGAGGCCCACACCAAGACACATGTTAAAATGCCAAAGTTAAAAACAAAGAGAGAACCTTAAAAGCAGCAAGAAAAAAGCAGTTAGTTACTTACAAGGGAGCTCCTATAATACTGCTAGCTGATTTCTCAACAGAAATTTTGCAGCCCAGAAGGTACTGGCAAGAAATATTCAAAGTAATGAAAAGCAAGGACGTACAACCATGATTACTCTACACAGCAAAGCTGTCATTTAGAATCAAATGACAGATAAAGAACTTCCCAGAAAAGAAAAAGCTAAAGGAGTTCATCACCACCAAACCAGTACCATATCAAATGTTAAAGGGTCTTCTTTAAGGAGAAAACAAGGTAAAAATATGAATAAAATGGCAATAAATACATATCTTTTAATAACTGAATCTAAAAAACAAACAAGCAGAACAAAACAGACTCCTAGATAGAGAACATTTTGATGGTTGTCAGATGGGAGGGGGTTTGACGTAGGGATGAAAAAGGTAAAGGGATTGGTTTTTACAGAGTAGCCACAGGGATGTAAAGTACAGCATAAGGAATATAGTCAGTAGTATTCTAGTAACTATTAGAATGGTGTCAGATGGGTGTGAAATTTATTAGGATGATCTCTTCATAAGTTATATAACATCTAATAACTGGTATACACCTGAACCTACAATAATGTATGTCAACTGTAATTGAAAAATGATTTAAAACTTAAAAAAAAGGAACTCTGATGCAAAAACACTTCCACTATCACCTTCTTCCAATGTGTTCTGTAATTCTGCTGCCAACCAGGTCTCTCTCCAGTGCTCAAGGCCTCCTTTTCAGCTACAGGCCCCCAGTCCCCATAGCACCATGGGCAACATACCATTCTTCATCCTTTCTCCTAAATTTGCTTCTTTACCTACATTTTGTTCAGAAGAACCCTAAACCAAGTGCAGTTCAACTTGCTGCCTGCACTCCCCTGCCATCCCCTACAATGTCTATCATTGTCAAGTTCAACCAATGAGAAGAGTGACCTTGGCTCTGACCCTAGCATCAATAATAAACCAATCAAGGAAGGCATCTGTGCTTATTACATCAGTACTGGGAACTTCTGAGACATGGCTGAAGTTGACAATGGTAGACATTGTAGGGGATTTTCTGAGACATTATTTTAATGTGGATGCAGTTATGAGATTCCTGAATCATTTTATCAAACTCTGTCTTGTGCTTCCTTCCTTTACTGCATAGTGTACCTTACCTTCCCACTGGCAGAAAACGACTGAGAAAAGCATTAAAACTTATTGAAGGCCCAGTACATTGCCCGTGGTTGGTGTTGATCCTCAGTGAATACTGGCTGAGTGCATAAAAACCAAAACTGGCTAAGGAGTCTTTCTCAGTTCATTACTGTACACAGAATTTGATAATGGTCTCATGGCTTCCACGACAATAGTTTGAGCACTGATTGCTTCATCAACTCATTACAGGACAATGCTAAAAGGACCCCCAGTGGAAGCTTGGTGATGCCTCACAAAGAAGCCATCACTTCACTAACAAATAGCAAGTGACCAGCTCTTGTCTCTAGGTCTGATAGGAACATGAATAGACATGGTACTACTGTACTGTAAAAAAAAAATGTGGAAAGCCTGAAGTTGCCTCATTAATTATCCTCACTAGCTATTAGAGCCCTGACTGATGTGGCTCAGGTGGTTGGAGCATCATCCCATGAACCAAGAAGTCAGTGCACATGCCTAGGTTGTGGGTTTGGTCCCAGTCGGGGAACATGTGAGAGGTGGCTGATCGATGTTCCTCTCCCTCTCTCTCTAAAATCAACAAGCATGTCCTTGAGTGAGGATTTAAAAAAATAATTAATTAAAAAAGAAAATAAATTAGCTATTAGACATTAGAGGCAATTTTGTTCTGCCAACTGTACTTCAGCAGGTTGCAACCATTGTATCAAGAGCAGGGATGGTGGCTTGGCCTCCAATTCTACCACCTACAGTCTTCTCCTAGGGTGGAAATAAAAGGATGAAAAAATATTATTATACTGTAGCTGCAAGGCCAGAACACAGGCAAGAAAGTGAAAGAGTGGGCATAGCTGAAGTACCTGATGGGAATGGAATGAATCAAATGTATTTAATTAAAAAATGTTAGATGAGAGCACATATGTTTCGAGTGCCATAAAGCCTTACAGGTAAGAAAAAATATTCCATTTCTTCTTAAACCAGTGGGCCCCAAACTCTGGAATCACATCTTTAAAGACTGGATGCCCCTTGCCCTGACTGGTGTAGCTCAGTGGATTGAGCACAGGCCTGTGAACCAAACAACTGTGGTTTGATTCCCAGTCAGGGCACATGCCTGCATTGCAGGCCAGTCCCCAGAAGAGGAAGCACAAGAGGCAACCATACATTGATAGTTCTCTCCCTCTCTCCTTCCCTTCCCCTCTAAAGATAAATAAATAGAATCTTTAAAAAAATAATAAAATAAAAATCTTAAAAAAAAAAAACCTGGATGCCCCTTTATGATAAAAAAAAGCGCTACTTGGAAAAGTGGCACTAGAGGGAGCATAACTCAAATTAATAAAAGCCATATATGGAAGAACCTGCTGCCAACAACATACTCAAAATGGGCAAAAACTGAAAGCATTTATCTTAAGATAAGGAAGAAGACAAGGGTGCCCACTTTTACCACTCTTATTCATCGCAGTACTGGAAGTTCTAGAAACAGTAATCAGATAAGAAGAAGAAATAAAAGCCATCTAAATTGGAAAGGGGATAGTAAAACTGTCATTGTTTGCAGACAGTATGATAGTGTACACAGAAAACCCTACAGGCTCCACCAAAAAACTACTGAACACAGTAAGTGAATTCAGCAAAGTGGGACTCAAAGTCAATATTCAGAAATCCATGACATTTTTGTCACCAACAAAGAACTATGAGAAAGAAAAAGTAAGGAAAAAAATCCCATTTACTATAGCAAAAACAACAAAAATACCTAAGAATAAATCTAACCAAAGAGGTAAAAGCCTCATACTCAGAAAACTATAGGGCACTGAAGAAAGAAACTGAGGAGGATACAAATGCATGGAAGCATATACTGTGTTGATGGAGTGGAAAAGTTAAAAGCACTAAAATGCCCATACTACCCAAAGCAATCTATAGATTCAACACAATTCCTATTAAATACCAATGGCATACTTCACAGATCTAGAATGAATATTCCAAAAATTTATATAGAACTAAAAAAGATCCCAAAGAGCTTCAGCAATCTTGAGAATAAGACTGTATGGATCACAGTACCTGATATCAAACTATACTACAAGGTCACTGTAATCAAAACAGTCTGTAACTGGCATAAGAACAGACACAGATTAAAGGAACAGAATAGAGAGCTCAGAAATAAACCCATGCCTTTATGGTCAATTAATATTTGACTAAGGGGACATGAGCATACAATGGAAGAAAAACAGTCTCTTCAATAAATGGTGTCGGGAGAACTGGACTGTTACATGCAAAAAAAATGAAATTTAGACCACCAACTTAATGCTGTACACCAGAATAAACTCAAAAGGGATAAAAGACTTAAATATAAGTTGTGATACCATAAACAAACATCCTAGAGGAAAACATGGGTAATAAAATTTCAGATATCTCATAGGGCAAAATTTTTGCTGATATATCTCCTGGGGCAAAGGAAATAAAGGAAAAAATAAACAAATTGGGACTTCGTCAGATTAAAAAGCTTCTGCATGGCTAAAGAAACCATCATCAAAATGAAAAGGGAACCAACTGTATTCGAGTACGGTACATTGAACGGGGTTTAATCTCCAAAATATATAAAGTACTCACACAAGTCAACACCAGGAAGACAGACGATCCAATTAAAAAATGGACAAAGGACATGAATACACACTTCTTTCTCCAAGGAGGACATACACAGACTGCCCATAGACATCTGAAAAGATGCTCAACATCACTAGCCATCAGAGAGATGCAAATTAATACAACAATTGAGATATCACCTCACACCTGTCAGAATGGCTATCACTAATAAATCAACAAGTGCTGGTGGGGATGTAGAGAAAAAAGAACCCTAGTGCACTGTTGGTGGGACTGCAGACTGGTGCCACCATTGTGGAAAACAGTATAAAATTTCTTCAAAAAACTAAAAATGGAACTGCCTTTTGACCCGGCAATTCCACTGCTGGGGATATACCCTAAGAATCCCGAAACACCAATTCGGAAGAACTTATGCACCCCTATGTTCATAGCAGAGCTATTTACAACAGCCTAGGTTTGGAAACAGCCTAAGTGCTTATCAATAGATGAGTGGATTAAAAAACTGTGGTACATTTATGCAATGGAATACAATACAGCAGGAAAAAAAAGAAAGGGATTCCTATCATTTACAACAGTATGGGTGGAACTAGAGACTATTATGCTAATTGAAATAAGCCAGTTGGTAAAATACAAATACCATATGACCTCACTTATAAGAGGAATCTAATGAACAAAATGGAGGAATGAGAAAAAACAGAATCAGAGGCATAGAATCATGGAACAGCAGTAAGAGGGGAGGAGGGAAGAAAGGACTGACTGAAAGAAGGTGAAGGGATTAGTCAAAGAATACATATGAAGGACGCATGGACATGACTCAGTCCATAGTCAGTGTGGGGACTGACTATGGAAGTAGGGTGAACTGGGTGGAGGGGAGAAATGGGGGGAAAATTGGAACAATTGTAATAGCATAAACAATAAAACATTAATAAAAAATTGGAAAAGATCCAGTTTTTGTTTTTTAATAAAAAACAAAAACTGGATGCCTGGCTCTCATCCCCAGACATTCTGATTCATTGGTTTTGGGGACAACTTGGACATCAGGTGATTTAAAAGCTCTACGGGAATCCTCCAGAACCACACTCTTAAACAACTCCTTAAACATAACGGAAGGAGCATTCTCCTTGAATGACATCAACTAGAACAGGATTGCAAATAAATTTAAACTGTTAACATTAACTTCAACTGATTGGTAGTGACTGCTTATATTATTGGTTCCTAAACTTTGCTATGCATTAGAATCACACTGAAGACTTAAAATCCCCAATGCCCAAGTCACATTTCATACCAATGACATCAAAATAAAAGCCTGGCATCAGTAGTTTTTAAAAATCCCCAGGTGGCCCTGGCTGGATAGCTTCGGTTGGCTGGAGCAACAACCGATACACCAAAAGGATTTGGGTTTGATTCTTGGTCTGAGCGTGTAGAGGAGACAAACAATCGATGCTTCTCCTCTCTCTCACCAGTGGACAATACATAAATAAATAATAAAAATAATTTATTTTTATTATTTGCTGTAGCCCAATTGGTTGGGTATTGTTCTGCAAAGTGAAAAGCAGCCAGTTTGATTGCCGGTCAGGGTGAATGCCAGGTGGTGAGCTTTGTCCCGGTTAAGAGCACGTGTAAGAGGTAACTGATCGATGTTTCTCTCTTGCATTGATGTTTCTCTCCCTCTCTTTCTCTCTCCCTTCCCCTCTCCTCAAAATATAAATAAATAAAATCTTTAAAAATAAGCGAAGAAAAATAAACATCCCCCAGTGATTGGGTTGGGTAGTAAGGTTCAGGAACCATGGCTCAGAAGAGCACTGTGTGGAGAACGCTGAGGCTGGGTTCACCTGGGAAAAGCATCACGCTCAGTAAAGTCTGCCGCGGACACAGAAGAAAAGTCTCCCCAACACAGCTGCCATTCCTGAACTAGAAGTCAAGGTCATTAAAGACAGACCAGGACCCACTAGAACCAGGAATAGCAGCTAATATTACATATTACTTTCTTACACATTATCTCATTTAATCAGGTACAGTTTAATAAAACCAGAAGAGCAAGGGAAAAAAACTTTAAATAACTGCTTAGCTGAGAAAGGAATTAAGTTATTTGAGCACTGCTTACCCTCAACTCTATCTCCTTGCCCAGCAAGTCATACAGAGATGCTCCTTTGGAGGTGATTTCAGAAGCAAGCTGCCTGGCTGCTTTCAAATCAGCAATCTGGAAGGAAGTCATCAAAAAAAGGATAAGTAACAGATTTGTTTAACAGGCATGCAGAAACAACCAGTCTGTTAATAATAATTGGTACCGCCAGTCAGTATACGTGACTACAGGGCACATTTTCCACAAGATATACTCATATACTTACCTCCCGTGGAAGAGAGCTCCCAGACACCAGTTTAGGGCAAATTAGACAAATTAGACTAATGTAGGGTCTAAGTACAAATTAGACTAATGTAGGGTCTCTCCAAAAAACCCAAATGTCAAGTCAAATGCAATCTTCAACCAGGAGGTGTGGGGGGGTGTCACAGTTGCCATGCTTCTGATTTGGACAAGGTCACAACAGGAGGCCCTGACAGTGGTGGGGTGACCAGAAGAGGGGCAACCTGAGGGGACACATTTCCTAATGCAGCATCCGAATGTCCTGTTTCATCCTTCTGTCCCCTCATTCTCTGCCTTTAAACTGTACTTCACAGGGCTGCTGTAAGGCTCAAATGAGAGCATGCAACACTACCCGGCTCCCACATGGCTGGCAGTTATTGCTATGAAGATTGATGATGATGATGATGATGATGATGATGGCTTAGCATCTAGCCCTGTACACAGTTTCTTTCTTAGGATTAGCATGTTATCCCTTCTTCCTTGAATATGCTCGATTTTCAGAGAGCCCAAACAAAACATTTCCTTACACTCATGCTCCCTCTCTCCTAAACAACAAATCCCCAATGTCTCTTTTATTATCAAACCATCAACAACTCTCAATATTCACTGAAGCTGACAGCTTTCTTCCTATTCCTTAGTCCCCTAGCGTTCTGTTTCCACTAGCTCTAGCTTCTCCTACCTTACAAGCAGCAGGCTCTCAGTAAACAGTTGGATTAATTTATTGTGACTTCTGCTTTTATCCAAATGCTGATGAGTACAAAACTGACAAATTGCCCTCAGTCAAGAAGTAGGAAGAAGTGGTTCTGTGAGTATATGACATGTTCCATTTCAGAGTGAGAAATACACATTCCATCCCTCACTAGAAGCTTTTCATTGTCCTTACCTTTGAACCAAGATCAAACTTGAATTTGCTGATATCGTCCTCTCCTATTTTGGAGCCCTCCATCCCTTTGGTCTTCATAGCGTTATAAAGGACAGAAGTGATCTTCAATAGCTCTTTCACTGCATACCCATCTGCTTGATATAGTTTCTTAGTATTGAGTTTTATATGTGCCTTAGTGGCCTATTTTCAAACAGAAGGAAACAAAAACAGTTTAAGACCCTTTCCATGTAAAATAAAATCTAAACCAAAACTCATGTAATCTCAGATAATTTGAAAATGTCTCTACCAACACTTGAGACATAACCTGACTGTATTAAGAGTCAAGCTTTTCAGTGACTCATACATCGAAAGTGGGTATGTAAAGTGATGCAATCTTGATGGAGAGCAATTTTTGTGTAAATGACAACAAAATTACAAATGCACATATCTTTTGACCTAGCAATTCCAATCCTGAGAATCTATCCTAGAGATTGATATACTCAAAAAAGAAATGAGATACATATAGGTTATCTGTTACAGCATTGCTTCAAAGAGTAAAGTTTACAAACACCTAAATGCCTGTCTATTTAAATGACATAAATTATGGTTTGTCCAGGTAAGCAATGCTACTCAAGTGTTGAGAGAATGAGCCCTGGCCAAGTGGTTGGAGCATCATCTTGTACACCAACAGGTTATGGGTTTGATCCCCAGTCAGGGCACATTCCTAGGTTGCAGGCTGGATCCCCAGTCTGGGTTTGTAAGATAGGCAACCAATCGATGTTTCTCTCTCACACAGATGTTTCTCTCTCTCTCTCTCCCTTGCTCTAAAAATCAATAAACATATCCTCAAGTGAGGATTAAAAAATAATAAAGTTTTAAAAAGAGAATGAGGAAGTTCTATATGTATTTGGAAAGTGCTCCAAAATGTACCATCAAGTGAAGAAAGCAAGATTCTAAACAGTATGCCCCCATTTGTGTAGAAAGAAGGGAAAGAATGTATAGAGAGAATATATATATTCTATATAGTCAATATCCTACTAGAATAGAATATATATATTTTATTATATATTAAATATATATTATTCTATCATCTATTTAACATATATACATTTAGCTATATATATTCTATCCTAATAGAATATTGAATATGTAGAATATTTATATTCTATTTACTTATATGTGCATAAACTCTGGGAAATATTAATAGCGATTACTGTCCTGGCTCATCTAGCTCAGTGGGTTGAGTGCTGGCCAATGAACCAAAGGGTCACAAGTTCTATTCCCAGGCAGGGCACATGCCCGGGTTGTGGGCCAGATCCCCAATAGGAACATTCAAGAGGCAACCAATTGCTATTTCTCTCCCACTTCTATGTTTTACTCCCTCTCTTTCTCCCTCTCTCTTAAAATAAATAAATGTTTAAAAATAGTAATAATAATAGTTATTATGTGGAATAGAAGTAGGCTGATGGCAGACAGAATAAGAAGTAATTTTACTCTATATCATTTCATGATCTAAAACAAAATTTGTAAACCTTAAAATATATTACCTATTTGAAAATAAATAGAAATCTTAATAAATAATGAATTAAAAACAAAAAATTTGCTGGCAAAATGCCTCTAAAGGAACCTGGTAATGGAATGGTTTTAGAAACTTGAAAGAAGCCCTAACTAGGCCTCATCTCTTTCCAATGTATTTAATTTTACACCTCCATCAAATACTTATGAACTAACCATGAACTGGGCAACTGCCTTAATGAAGAAAACTCGGTCTTGTTCCGTCTCGACCTCAGAAGGGATATCAGTCTGAGGCTCATACCTGAGAGAGAGAGAGAGAAAACACCAGTTAATTGAGTACAAAGTCCACGAAAGAGAAAGCAGGCAACTGTGAATGAGTGGATCTGTAACAGGAGGCTCTCTGAGTCCCCTGCTAAGTAAGATAAGAGACTTCAAAAGCAACACAAAGTACCAAACACCCAAGAAAGCAAATCCTCACCCTAAGACTAGGTTTAACTGATTTCAAAAATCAAATTTGGAGCACAGCTTACAAAGTTAAATCTCTCTCAGACCTCAAAATTTAATGAAAACAATCAAAGTGATTACTTGGCTGATAGCCCTCTACCAAAGCTAACTAGTTAGCTCACAGAGCAGCAGAGTCACTGGAGTTACTTTCTTCATTATTGATGACCCACCAGGACTCAGCGGACTACAGCCCTTGGCCTCTTTTTGTACAGCTTGCGACCTAAGAAGGTTTTTTTACATTTTTAAAGGATTATAAAAAACAAAACACAAGGCAGAATATGTGAAAGAGCTCTTATGTAGCCTGCAACACTTAAGGTTCTTAACAAAAAGTTTGCCGCCCCCAAATGTTAGATACTAGGTTTTATACACAAAATGAAATCTAAATTATTTCTAATCCAGGGTACTCATTAGAAGTGTAGGAGGGGCCCTGTCACTACTGACGAAGGTGAGAGGGTGGAGAGAAACCTGGACCCCCATTACTGCTTCCTACTGAGACACAGTCTCCTTTCACCTCTGCCTGGTATATCTTCCTTCTCCCGCGACATTCTTTAAATCTCAGCTGACTTCTAGCAGGTTACAACTAAGTCTGTCAAAGTTAAATTTTATTGAACTCTTCTTTTAGCTTTGCAACAATATCCTGTTTCTAGGTGGCTAATAAAGAATATCAGTATTCATTTATAGACTTCAATAAAGTGTAATTCTAACCTTTTCACAAGCCAGAGAAGAACTTCAGACACAAGCCCAAAATTTGGTGTGCGGAAATTTTCCATAGAAATATGTCGAGGGTATCCCAAGCCTCTCATCATCTCCGTAAAATCTGTTCAAGGTAAAATACAATTCGGTCAATTCATCATCAAACAGCAACTACTTATTTACTTTCTTTGCTTTCCCTTCTTATTTCCGGTCTATTGACAGTTTTAGGGACTATCTATCAACTCTCTCGGAGGGAAAGCAGAAAGTAGATAAAATAATCTGCTTCCTCAAAAACATAAATTATTGAAGTTCCCTCAGAGAAGTGGAAGCTGTACATTAAAATGGGGTTTAGGGATTGGCTGTGAATTTAATTTCTCTCTTTTTTAAAGGATATGTTTGTTGATTTTTTAGAGAGAGAGGAAGAAAGAAACATCGATCTGTTGCCTCCTATACACACCCAGACCAGGATTCAAACCTGCAACCTACATATGTGCCCTGACCGAGGATTGAACCTGCAAACTTCTGGTGTATGAGATGACACTCCGACCAACTGAGCCACCCAGCCACGGCAATTTCTCCCTTGATATCTCATTTCTCTCTTGGATATCTTCCTACCACTCAAATGAGAAATTCCTGGCACTATAAAACGTCATAAATAAAAATATTTATAAATGTTAAGAGTGTTTATTTTGGGGGGTGATGGTATTAGGGTAAAGTTCATCTTGCTGAGTTATGTGTGATTTGTCTTTTTTTCTTTTAGTGAGCAAATAGGACCTTAATAACATAAACTTTTAAAGATTAGTTGTACTGTATCTAGAGAAATCTTAAAGAGAATGAGTGATCTATTGAGCACTATTTAGATTTATTACAAAACAGTAGTAACAGTAATACTAATACTTGTTGACACCAGAGGTTGCTGTCACTCAGCCTTTTTACTTTTTTAAAAGATTTTATTTGTTTTTAGAGAGAGGAAAGGAGGGAGAAAGAGAGGCAGAGAAACATCGATGTGAGAATCATCAATCAGTTGCCTTTTGTACATGCCCCCCCCTGGGTACTGAACCTGCAACCTAGACATGTGCCCTGACCAGAAATCAAATGGGTGAACTTCCACTTTGCGGGACTACGTCCAACCAATTGAGCCACATTGGTCAGGGCTGTCCCTAAGCTTTCAGAAGGATTTGGAAATGAACACAACAAGCAGGTTTTGAGTTACCACTATGTGCCAAGATGTACTTTCAGTGTGCTCATGGCTCTTTAATGTCCATCCTCACTCTTCTAGAAGGTAGATGTTCACAAAGAAAACTACCCAGCATCGGAGGTTAGGTTGGATTACACCAGACAACAGAAGAAAAGGCAGGAGCAGAGGAAAGAGCAAGCACACTGAGGGCCTCTGTCACCGAGGTTTGGGAAATCTGAACCCAGTGATGATGGAAAATCAAGCAACGTCCAGTCAGGCACTGCCTAAATACTTCTTCCCATTAAGCAGTAGTTAAGTTCCGTTCATTTTGCAGTATTGTCAAAAGGGAGACAATCTGAGTTAGATTCTTACTATAAATTGCACAACTGTACAGCATTCATTTAATGTCAAAACATTCAGAAATCCCCTTCTCGTACATTCTTCTCAATACAACTCCTTGCAACGACCCCTAGTAGAGTGCTTGCTCTAAACTGGGAGGGAAGAGCAACTTATCTCTACAACACACAGTCACCAAGAATCTTTAAATCCCAGAGGGCTAATTCACACCATGGTGCTTGTACCTGTAGCAACAAAATGTGGTGTGTCTTCCCATATATTTTACATTGTAGAAAGAAAGCAATTCATAATTGAAAGAAGTAATCTTTAATGGTAAAATTTCAGGTACCAGCAATTCAGTTAGAAAATTGGCCTTACAGCACAGGTGGCAAACACAAGGCCCACGGGCTGAATCCGGGCTCCACTTTGTTTTATCCAGCCCGGCATCTTGTTTCTACCCAACTGCAGCACTGAGCATCCTTGCCCCTAGTTAAGGAGTAGTTACGTTTCCCAGTCCTAAAACTACATTCGGCCCTTTGAAGGCAACCTGGAGGCTGATGTGGCCCCCGGTGAAAATGAATTTGACACCTCTGCCTTACAGAGTCCCCTCATGTCACACCCAACAAATTGGTAATCACCTGCTACATCTGTGCAGGTGGAGCCAGTTAGCTGAATTGCTTCTGGTTTTTAAAAAATGACACTGTATAAAAAGGTAAGAGATTTTGGTTTACAGTCTCGATCCCTGCTTCTACCCAGTTCCGGTTGTGTGACCTAAAACAAACTACCTATCTGTGCCTCAAATATTTCATCCAGGAATTATACCACTTACCTCATCATTTAAGTGAGGACTAAAATAGGATAATGAACGTAAAATGCTTAGTGTGAAAGTAGTAATAACTAACTCTCTTTTCTCCATTCTTCCACTTCGCCAACCTTCTAGCAAAGACATTTGGTTTCCCTTATCGTCATCAGTCCCTTTAGTTAAGGATGAAGGTGTTGGAGGTTATAGACAACTGAGTTCAAATTCCAGAGCCAGCTCTTACCACCTATTTTGTGTCCCTTGACTGAGGTACTTGACCTCCCTGTGCCCGTTTGCTCATCTCTAAATACAGAAACGTAGTTATTCAAAGTAGTAAATAAAATGATGCCTACACAAAACACTACCTAGCTGATCGTAAACCCCCCCCCCAAAAAGTTGGGCGCAATTATTATGCAGCACTCCCCTCCTCGGTTTTGGTGTTCGTTTCTCTGAACTCTAACCTAACCCAACCCCAAAACGGTCTCTGCGTTTTTCAGCTTGGTAGCGAAGAGCTCAAGTAGCTATACAAATCATTTAAAATTAGACAAAATTAAAACTTAGGTTCCTCAGCTGCACAAGTCACAGCCAGTGCAGATACAAAACCAGGACTGGGGCGTTGAACCTGGGGCGAAGGACAGCAAAGGACCAGAGGCGCCCCTGAGGCGCAGAGGCCCGAGAGGGATACGACGCAGCTCAGACAAGAGGACCCAGCGCGCCGGGTCCGGGAGTCTCTCAGGAGGGCCCGCAGGTCACAGAGGGCAGGGTTTCCTTACTGCGGAGGTCGCGGAAAGACATGGCGCTCTAGTCCCCGTTAGTCCGGAGTCTCCGCTGTTCTCCACCGCGCCCCACTCGGCGCTCACGCGTCTCTGTGGCAACGCACTGAGTTCTCGACGGCGCGCAGCGAGCGTCAAACGGGAGGAGAAGTGGAGGAGACGGATTGCGCGAGCACGCGCAAGCGAAGGGGGTGGTAGGCATGGGGATGTCTCCGGAATTAAGGAGGAAGGTGTGGGGTTTTTTTTTCCCGACGTGAAGCTCTCAGCCGCAGGGCGTTCGGGTCTCTTTCTACGTTTTGCAGATATCTGACACTGGCTGACACGTTCTGAGCACCTACTATGTGCCTGACACTGTGCTAGGTGCTCTACATGCTGCTTCCCATTTCTTCCACTCTTCTAGAGTGAATGTGCCATAATGTCACGAAGCTAGGATTCCCTAGCTCAGCAGCGTTCTCCCCGCCACGCGTAAAGTGCTAGCTGTGCCAATATCAGAAACCGCAGAGAAAAGACTGCAGCGTTAAGGGGCAGTACGCCGCACTGCAAACGGTACAGTTTGGTAGGCCTGGACCCGAGCACGCGCACCCGGCTTGGTCTTCACGACAGGCCGGAAATCGTCCCGGATGCTTGCGCGCCGGCCGTTGTCCTGGTAACCGTGTTCCTTTTTTTTTTTTTTGTAAGGAGGAAGAGTTTGTGCCCTGGGTGGAGAAACGGGAACGCTCCAGGGTAAGGAGGAAACCCGAAGTGTGGCCAGATCTCCTGGGGGTCACCTGGGAGCCTTCCCCAGCGGTGCTACAGTGTAGGACAGGCGACAAGGAAAGAAGAGCTGGGAGATGAAGCGAGCTGAGCTTGGAAGGGCGGGCGAAAAGAGGAGGGACTGCCAGCTGCTGTGATTTTCTCCGCCCCTTTACTGATGTTGGCGAAGTAACAGAAACATAAATGCGTGGACCCTAAAGAGATTCCCCAAATATATCCACATATATATGGTCAGTACGATAAAGGCGACAAAGCACTTCAGTGGGGAAAAAATAGTTTTTCAATAAACTACTTGAAACAATTGGAAATCCAAATAAATGAACCTCCACGCAGCCTAAATATAAAACCTAAAATTGTCACAACGCGGGGAACTGCTGTTTATAACAAGGGCTCTATTAAGTCCTTAAATTAAAAAAAAAAACAAAAAAACTATCTTTTCTAGAAGAAAATGGGAAAAAACTTTATGACAGGGTAAAACAGGATTTCTTAAATACACCAAAAGTGTAATCCTTAAAAAATGTTTTCTTGAATGTACTTAATACAAAAATTAAAACTTCTTTGTCCTGGCTTGTGTAGCTCAGTGGATTGAGACCCTGCCTGCAAACCGAAGGGTGGCAGGTTCGAATCCCAGTCAGGGCACATGCCTGGGTTGCTGGCCAGGTCCCAGGTGGGGAACACAGAAGAGGCAACCCACACATTGTTTCTTTCTCCCTTTCCCTGTACCTAAAAATAAATAAATAAAATCTTTTAAAAAAACTTAAAAAAAAACTTCAAAATATTTTTAAGAAAATTAAAGGATAATCTGTCCAGAAGAAAATATTCACAAAACACAGCCAATGAAAAGACATATCCAGAATACATAACAAACTCTGAAAACTAAATCCAAGTAGAAAGTGGACCAAAACTCTAAACAGATACTTTAAAGAAGAATATGTATGGCAAATAATGAGAAAAAGATGCTCAAGGTTATTAGTCATTAAGAAAATGCATATTAAAACACAATGACATATTGCTAGGCAGTTATTAGGATGGCTAAAAACAAACAACAAAAAGCCTGACAATGCCAAGAGCTCAAAAGGATGTGTACCAACTTGAACCTTCATACATATTGGTTCTACCATTTTACATTCCTACCAGTAGTGTAGGAAGGTTCTGGTTTCTCCACATCCTCATTAACATTTGTCAATTTTTAAAAATTATACCCATCCTTATGGGTGTGTAGTAGTATCATGTTGTGGTTTAAATTTGCATTTCCCTAATGACGAATGAGCATCTTCACTGAGCATCTTCTCTTGTGTTTGTTGACAGTGTGTGTATCTATGGAGAGATGTCTATTCAAGTTCTTTGACATTTTTAAATTGGGTTGTCTTTTTGTCGTTGAGTTGTAAGAATTCTTTATATATTTTGAATAGTACACTCTTATCAGATACTTGATTTTCAAATATCACATTCTGTACGCTTTTACTTCTTGATACTGCCTTTTGCAGCAGAAAAGTTTGAAATTTTGATGAAGTACAATTTATTTTTTAAATTTTACTTGTGGTTTTGTTGTCATATCTAATAATTCAGTTCCAAATCCAAAATCATATTCATTCTTATGTTTACTTTTAAAAGTTTTATACTTTTAGCTCTTACATTTATGTCTTTTGATGCAATTTGGGTTAATTTTTGTATTCGGTGTGAGGTAGAGGTCAACCATCATTCTCTTGCATGTGTCTATCCAGTTGCTCCAGCATCATTTGTTGAAGAAATTCTTTCCCCCATTGAATAGTTTTGGCATTCTTGTTGTAAATCAATTGACCATAGATATATGGGTTTATTTCTGATCTCTGTATTCTACTTCATTGATTGAGACACTTATCATGTCAGTTATACACTATTTTGGTTAAATTTTGGTCAAATTTAAATTTTTCTTTAAAAAAATTTTTTTTGCTTATTTGGGTTCCCTTGTAATTCCACATGAACTTTAGAATCAACTTTCCAGTCTCTGTGTAAAAGGCCATTGGGATTTTCAAAGTATGTATAGGTCACTTTAGGGAATATTGATGCCTTAACAATATTAAGTCTTCAACCCATGAACAGTAATATTTTTCCATTTACTTAAGTCTTCTTTATTTGTTTTTAGCACCTGTTTCATAGTTTTCAGTGTTGTCTTAAAACCCCTTGGTGAAATTTATTCCCATTTTATTCTTTTTGTTCTTTGCCAGTGTGTATAAATACAACTAACTTCTATGTTGAACTTATATCCAACTTTGCTGAACTTTATTAGCTCTAATAGCTTTATTAGCTCAATGTTGAGTGTGAATTTTTTTCTGTGTAAGATCATGTCATCTGTGAACAGAGAGAATTGAAAACTTTAAAAGTTGTCAAACAGTTACATTTGACATTCAATATTATGTTTCAGGTGTACAGCATAGTGATTAGACATGTATATAACTTTTAAGTAATCCCCCCAATAAGTCTAGTATCCACCTGACACCATTACAATATTATTGACCTATACTCCCTATGCTGTATGTTACATCTTCATGACTATTTTTTAAATTTAAAAAAATATTGATCTTAGAGGAAGAAAGAGAGAAAGAGGAGAGGGAGAAATGTTGATTTGTTGTTCTACTTATTTATGCATTCATTGATTGATTCTTGTATGTGAATTTGATCTGACTGGGGATTGAACGTGCCACCTTGTCACATTGGGATAATGCTCTAATCAACTGAACTACCTGGCTAGGGCCCAAATGACTATTTCATAAGTGTGAATTTGTACTTAAACTCTTCACCTGATGATGCTTTTATTGATTTTAGCAGGGGTGTCAAACTCATTTTCACCGGGGGCCACAATCAGCCTCACGGTGGCCTTCAAAGGGCCAAAACAACTTTAGGACTGTATAAATATAACTACTCCTTAACTGTTAAGGAGTTGAAATTACATGCGGTCCTTTGAAGGCCACCATCAGGCTGATGTGGCCCCTAGTGAACATGAGTTTGACACCCCTGTTTTAGAGAGAGGAGAAGAGATAAACACCTATGTGAGAGAGAAACATCAGTCAGCTGCCTCTGCATGTGCCCTGACTGGGAATCAAGCCTGTAACCCTTTGGTGCATGGGATGATACTCCAATCAACTAAGCCACCTGGCATGGGTAGCCCTTCACCTTTTTTACCACGTCACCCAATTCCCTCCCCATCTGGTAATTACCAGTTTGTTCTCTGTATTTATGAGTTTCTGTTTTATTTGTTTACTTATTTGGGGTTTTAGATTCCACATATAAGTGAAATTATATGGCATTTGTCTTTCTCTGACTTAATTCACTTGGCAGAATACCATCTTGGTCCACCCATGTTATCGAATATGGTAAGATTACATTCTCTTTTATGGCCAAGTAATTTTCCGTTATCACTTAAGTTGCTTCCATATTTTGGCTATTGTAAATAATGCTGCAATGAACATTGGCATATATCTGTATCTTTTCAAATTGGTGTTTTGGATGTTTTTGGATAAATAGAATTGGAATTCCAGAAGTAGAATTGCTGGATCATATGATAGTTCTATTTTTAATTTTTGAGGACTTCATACCATTTCCATAGTGGCTGTACCAATTTGTAATGCCACCAACAGTGCACAAAGGTTCCCTTTTGTCCACATCTTCAACACTTGTTGATTTATTGATAATAGCCATTTTGACAGCTGTGAGGTGATAATCTCATTGTAGTTTTAATTTGCATTTCCCTTATATTTAGTGATGTTGAATATCTTTTTTTTTTATGCCTATTGGCAATCCACATGTTTTTTTTTGTTTTTTTTTTTTTGGAGAAATGTCTGTTCAGGTCCTCTGACCTTTTAAAATCAGATTGTCTTTTTGGTGCTAGATTGTATGAGTTTTTAATATATTGTGGATATTAACCCTTTATTCATGTATCATTAGTGTCTTCTCCCACTCAGGTTTTTTTGTTGACGATTTCCTTTGCTGTGCAAATTTTTTAGTTTGATGTAGACTAATTTTTTTCTTTCTTTTCCCTTGCCCAAGAAGACAGTCCAAAAAACTAATGCTGAGAGCAATGTCAGAGAGTTTACTGCCTGTTTTCTTCTAGGAGTTTTATGGTTTCAAGTCTTATACTTAAGTCTTCAATCCATTTTGAGTTTATCCTTATGTATAGTGTAAGAAAGTGGTGTAGGGGTTTTTTTTGCATGTATCTGTTCATTTTTCCCAACACCATTTATTGAAGATTGTACCCCATTGTATATTCTTACCTCCTTTGTCGTAGATTAATTGACTGTATAGGTGTGGTTTATTTCTGGGCTTTCTGTTCTGTTCCATTGATCTATGTCTACTTTTATGCCAGTACAATGTTCATTATTATAGACTTGTAGTATATAGCTTGATCATCACAGGTAGCACAACATCTGCAACTTTGTCCTTGTTGTTTGTTTATTTATTTGTGTGTGTGTGTCTGTGTGTGTGTGTGTGTGTGTGTGTGTGTGGTTGTCTCTCATGTGCCCCACTCTGGGGAACCTGGCCCCCCAACCCTGGCATATGCCTTAAACTGAAATGAACCAGTGACTCTTTGGTTTGCAGACTAGTGCTCAATCCACTGAGCTACACCAGGCAGGTCCTGCTTTTCTTTTCTTTTTTAAAAAATCTATTTTATTGATTATGTCATTACAGTTGTCCCATTTCCCCCCCTTCATTCCCCTCCATCATGCACACCCCCTCCCCCACCATTCTCCCCCCTTTAGTTTATGTCCATGTGTCAC